TGGGTTCCGATTTCGTGCATCTTCTGTGCGCGGTGATTGCAGGAAAAATATCACATCTTGATTGAGATCCCAAGTAGTTTTACTCCTCAATAGACAGAAGCTGATATAACTGTCCGGTAACTGTTCACAAAAATGCATGATATTTTTACCAAGACTGATCGGTGAAAATTTATTAATCGAATTCTGTTGGAATATTCAACGGAAATGTTCTACGTACGTGTTTCTATACGTATATAGAAATCGGTAGGAGCAATATCTCGATAATCTATCGATCGGCATGTTTTAACTTAATTACCGCTCGGATTGATCACCGTAACGTGAAAAAAAAAAAATGTCAGCTCGGTGAATCTACTTTTTCTTCTTCGCCGCGTCGCATGCGACAGGTTTGTCACATTTGCATTTAGCTGCCTCGCTCGCGACAGATGTCGACCTGAAGGGAGAAAACGGGAAAGAAAAAAAACAAGTAAGACAGAAAGAAAGGAGAAGCCGCGGCAGAAAAGATAGCGCTCCACTGTTACGCGAAGACCATAAATCCTGGCGGTAGCGGCGGCCGATTATCTCTCTCGCGGCGAGCCGATAACTCCATATACATTTCGCGGTGGGGAAAATGTAATGTCGCGCGACGTAACGCGCGTACCGCCGCCTGGCAACAAGTTGTAAAAATATTTTCGAATGGTTACGTATTCGCGCCATGCGACACCACGCTGATCGCTGACACTCTGTCGTTATCTTAATTACAAGCTCTAGTGCTGTTACTGGCGCGCGAATGCTATCTCATTGCTGCTACCAGTTGTGGCCCGCGTTAACCATTATCGCGACTATTATCAGTACTTGATTATTATCATGCTCGCGACCGCCGGCAAAAATTCCCCTAAGTTGTTTCAGGGCAAGAAAACACTTATTTCCCGGCTGGACCGAGGCAGCCTCGCGGCCTGCCTTCTGCGTATCCGCACACTGTGTATCTGGGAATTCGTGGTTGCAAAGCTAATATTTGACGACGAATACGCGAGGGCGATATACATATCGCACGTGTGGGAAAGCGCGGGAAGGACACGGCGAGCGAGCGTGTCGCGTCGACGACAGTTGTGCAATCGGCGTTCAATGCTATTAATATTGACTTACATTCAATCTTAATTAAACGTCACTAGTTGGATATATTTCATATTCAATTATTTATCATATGCAATTAGGTATTCCCTATACTTGAGGTAGTTGGCCCGTAAAACTACTTTTCTTCGAAATTATTTTCTAAATTTCACCCGCATATTGATAGAAATGCCATCTGTATGTTCGTAAAGGTAGAAAACGATTGACTTTTTCATCGAGCCCCTTAACATCGTCGTTGAAAATCCGGCGTCACGGACTAACTACCTTGATTGTTTATCAATTCGCACATCTTCCGTACTCAGTCGCATTCGATTCAAGCCGAGAAGCATTAATTCATATTCATCTCAACTCTCATTCATACAACCAACCGACGTGGCTGCAGTTCGGCTTCGCCAAGTTCCGCGTCTTTTCAGACTCGCCGAAGAGCTGGACAAATCGCGAATCGTCCGACTCGCGCGTCGCGCCAGCTCGCAAGTGGTGGCATTGATACGCGTGCGTCAATCGTACAAATCGTACTCGCGATAGCGTTCTGTTTCTCGCCGCGCGTAAATCAAGCGTTACGTCGAGTTGCCGAGCGATCGCTGATCGAACGCGCGGTTAGATTCCGCGCGCGCACGTCTGTCGCATCGTCCGCCCTTCGCTCCGGAGATGAATACGAATGATCGTAAATCGTATAATCGAGGCCTTGATCGTGATCGGCGATTCGACCGGCGAGCGTGAAATTCGTCAAAATGCGTTTATTAACGAGACACGGGAGTTCGCTCGCGCGGTGTAGTGTCGACTGTCATCAGCGACGCGGACGATTCTCGTGAAACGATGTTGATCGACGGGCACGTCGAATTTCCGATAAGGACTGTCGCCCAGCTGAATGGCGAGAAATTGATTGTCTCCCAGGTATGGAGCTGGTGCACCTTGGCGAGATGCACAGAGAAAATAAAGCCTAAGCTGGTCGGTAACTGGAATAGGAATTCTGGTTACCGCTTAGAAACTAGCCATTTTGGTCGACGCTTGTTTCGATGACAACTAAAATCTCAGTACAGGACAGTAAAATTAGCCAGTTCTTGAATAGAAGGCAAAATAGAATCTGGGCGAAAATTGTCCAATAATTGAGTAGAAATTCACGTTTGGATGAAACTGGCCAAAAACTAGTCAGAAACTAGCCGGGCCAAACGTTCCGTTAGATGTCGAAAATATTCTTTTCGTGAAATCGGTAGCTCAAATATAAGCAAAGTAATTAACTTTGCTGTGCGCCTTAATGAATGGAAATATAAATTATTATTATCAAGTTAACATTATTATCACTCGAATAAATTAATTTTCTATAAAAAAAAGTAATCGGGAGTAAAAATTGGTAAAGAAACTGCTGCACAAGGTAAATGGGAATCATCATTTTTTCTAGTTCTTACAAACCAAATTCGGCTCTTAAGAGCTAGAAATTCGATCTCTTCTCCAAGCAAAAACGCGTTTGGCTCGTTATTCGTCGCGTTAATTCGATAAAAACTTTTTTTCTCAGCGTGAGAATTTCGCATCGCGGAAGCCGGTCAGATCAGAAAAGTTGAATGAATTCGGCTGACCGATTCAACGATTAACGCGATACAGCAGTTTCGCGTTTTAATGAGACCTTGCGATATCGCGCGAAGTCGTAAAAATGCGAAAAGAGATCGCAGAGCGATTTCGTGAATTCTCGCCGACTTGATGACGCGCCGAGTGTGCTCATTCGCTCGAGAATCTCGCTTGATGCCCGGCTCTTTTATATATCAACGGCTTATCTGCCAGATAATGACGGGCCGTCGAATTTGCAATTAAACCTTACTCGAGGCGTTCACGCGCGTAAATACTTCCACGTACGCGTCCCGCGTACACACGCGTGATCTACGAGCGATACGACGACAAGGACGCGTATAATCGCGTCGTGCTACACATAGTTGCAACGCAATGACCGTGTCCGCGAATAAAAATAATTATCTCGGTCTTATCTCGGCACTTCCTCGCATCGTGCGCGACGTTCATTACGCAATTACGTTATCGGTATTCTGAGAAGCTTAAAGTCTTCTTCTTACGTAACGTCACTCGCTCGATACAATTTCACCTCGCCGATATCCAGGAATCTTCACGGCTGATCTCGGATTAGAATCATGTCGACGGGTCTCTTTCCGATGTTGCTGATCGTTCAGTACCAGCGAGAGTAATGAGTCAACCGCGGCTCCCGATGTATTTGTGACGCCCGCGTCGCACTCGTCGATCTTAATTTCATCGGTATCGAATCGATTCCCGACGAGTTTTTCATCGCCCTGCAGCGTCCCTCATCCGGCGTAAAGTTATCCGCCCCGCCCGGCAAGCTTGTAATCTTATTCCGCGGCACATTATTATTATTATTGAAAAAGTCCCAAGTCTCCCCTCTCTCTCTCTCTCTCTCTCTCATTTTATATTGAGGGAATTTTACGTAGAGGAAAGGGGAGTAGAATGACGATCTTAAGGTTTGTCGATTTTTCTTCAATTTCGTAATGATATAAAAACAATGATTGATTTTTTTCTAAATAGTTAAAACCTTGCCTATAATCTGCATAAACTAAAAAATTTATAAATAAATTAAAATCTTGTTTAATTTAAATTTTCACAGAACATGTAAATTACGTGTAAATAATATTTTTATTCGTGTTTTATTATGTTATATAAACATTATAATAACAAAATAATATAACAATTTTGTAGGAATCATTTTTTATATGCATAGAAAATTTATTTTTAATCTTTATTTTATCTTACCCATATATGGGGGGGTACCCATATATGGATAAGATAAAATAAAGATTAAAAATAAATTTATGGGTACCCATATATGGGTGAGATAAAATAAAGATTAAAAATAAATTTTACCCATATATGGGTAAGATAAAATAAAGATTAAAAATACATTTTCTATGCGTATAAAAAATGTTTCCTACAAAATTGTTATATTATTTTGTTATTATAATGTCTATATAACATAATAAAATACGAATAAAAATATTATTTATAAACAAAAAAATATGATTTATATGACGATGTAACTTAAAGAAAATAAAATCTAGACAAGAATAAAAGCAAAAAAAATTATTTATAATTATATAATTCAAAACAAAATGTACGAATGCGTCATGTCATCCACATGATCATCTCACTAAATGGTCATCATATTTACTTATTTAATTTAAAAAAACACTTCAATATAAGAAATGAAAAATAATAATACGTTATTATATGTGTTTCTGGTTATATTATACAGTAATTTTATAGAGAAAATAAAAATATTTATTATAATTGTATTATATTGTTCTTTATGAAGAAATACTGCATATAGGTCTATCCAAAACATACTTCTTATTATATTATCTACTATTGTTGACATATTGAAGTCAAACTAAATTATTGTTAAAAGCCTCTATTGAAGTCAACGGATTATTGTTAAAAGCCTCTGATGAGTTGGGCACCGACTAGTTATTTGTTATTAGCTTAGAAAAATGAGCAAATCGTCGTCTTACACTCCTTTTCCCCATCTCTCGATGTCGGGCTCAAAACCGTAAAACTTCTCGTTAAACGGATCTCAAATGCTATCGAAACGACCGGCCGCGTTTAAAGGTTCGGCAAAAAGATCGTGCATTCGCAATTCATCCGATTGCACGGTTGCATTCGGTATGCACATTTACCAAATGGTCCGATCGGCGCGGTCTCACCGCGAGATTTTGGTTAATTGATCATTAGCGGCACTCAGACGGAAGACGCAGGGTGTCGAGAGGGGGGGAGGCAAGGGGTAAGAAGAAGAAGGGTGGGTGGGAGAATCTCGTGGAAGCCGCAGAGAAAGGAGATAAGGACGGCGAGCGGATGCAATTCAAGAGAGAATGTTTACATTCCAGGTCAGCCGATTACACGAAAGGCATCTTCCAGAGCATCGGCTTCAAGGAGTTCCACGCTTACCTCACATTGCCCGAGGAGGAGCGTGCGAGCGAGAAGGTAAGCGGAGAGAAGATGGCCCGCGCCGATACGATTAGCAAGTCCGTATAACCACGATCATCCGTCCGCAGCAGCAGCAGCAGCTGCCGCTCCTGCTGATGCCTCATCGCTCGGATTCCCGACTTTTTCTCGTTGCCATTGAAACGCACCGCGCGATTTGCAACAGAGTCTCCTTTCGGTGCCGGCCGCCGTCTCCGCTGCGCTCGCGGTTTTTACTTCTGCCGGTTACGCGGAACTCTCTCGCTATCTCTCTCTGTTCCTCTTTCTTTCTTGACTGTGAGACGCGGCCTCTTTCTTAAACTTCTTCATGAGCCACGAGAGCATCGACGGCTGCCGATTTCGCGCCAGGATTCCGTGAGACTGCTGATTCCTGACGCGGTTACGAAGGGGTGAAGGAAGGCGAGGGAGGCGGGGGAGTGTTTCAGTGAGAATCCGATTCTACAGTCGCGAGGGGACTTTTGTTTAATATTTTGAGAGTACTCGGAAATATTTTATAGTACTGTTCGAATATTATGGTGAGACCGATGTCTGCTTTGTACATTTCTTGACGTGAAATCTCACTCGAGAAGCAAAGTGACCATCGAGTCACTCGAATTCCAGCAACTTTTCGCTCATATAGAACGAATTTTCTACTCCGAGTCGTCGAGTGAATATTTTCACTCGAAATCGAAAAGTAAACCTGACGTGTCCCACAAAGAAAAAAAGTAGTATCAATTTAAGTATCATATATGTGATATTCTCATACATAAGTAAGAATATATAATCTTATGTGAAAACAAAAAAGGCTTATATGAAAAAATTTGATATAAAAAATATCATATTTTTGTTATTCAGAGATAATTTTTATGAATTGAGAAGAAAATATATTGAAAATATATTTATCTTCATATAAGAATATATTTATATATTCTTGTTTATGTGTGAGAATATAATATATAACAATTGATATTAATTTTTTTTCCGTGCAGCGTTATAGGAACATATTCATTCGAATCAATCGAAAATTTGCTTTTGTAATTTCGAATGGGAATATTTTCACCGCCTTTTCGAGCAAAAACCTTGCCATTTTTCATTTGTTTCGAGAGAGATTCCACTTCAAGGAATTTCGAGATTAATTACTGAGAATTTATACATAGGGGAAGAAGCTTCTGCAACAAAGTATCGACGACTTGAAACTCGTTACCAAGAGATATGCGAAGAAGCAGGACAAATGGGTTATGAACCGACTGATTCGCCGCGAACATCGACAAGTAATTCATTTACCTCGTATCTCCTTAATGATGTATCTATACGCTTATTACATCATACGTATTTCTAAGTAGCATTACGATCGCAATAATTTCACTCTTCTTCACGATAGATTTTACACACGACGTAGCACGTAGGTAACGAAAACCGAACGGAGGATAAATCATACGACGTTTTCCTTTTTTCGAGGTGCCCGCTGTTTATTCTCTAGATTGCACAGACGTGACGAACTGGAACAGTTGCGTCTTAGAGCCGTCGGTCGCGATTATTTCCGCAATAATGCGCGGCGAGAAACCCGAGCAGCGGCCAGTGTTAAACGAGGACTTCGAGGGCCAAGAATACAGCGATTACAATAAATTGGAATACAATTATTGCGAGGTAATTTTGGGAGATTGGTCACGACAGTTGACTCTCCGAAGCACACTGCGTTCTTTATTTTTTTATACGTTGAGAGAAAAATTAGCTATAGCCGCTAAAATTACAGTTATTTTCGGCGCTAACTATATTTATTCGTCATTCTAACAAAAAATAGCAGAAGACATGTGCATATAAAGTTATTATTATCGTCAATACAGTATTACTATACACGAAGAAAAAGATTTCTTAGGATTTAATCAAATTTCTTTAATTGAAACAAATTTGTCTTTTGGAACAGAGCAACAAACGAATATTTGATTCAACGGGATTGTTTAGTTTCTCAAACAATAAATATCTTTACGTAAAATAACATTTCTTTTGCATTTTAAAACGTTACAATGATTGTCACGAGCAATAAATTATTTGAAAGAAATAACAGTTTTTTAGAAAAATATTAAATTACTTCTTTTTGTTTCAGTAGAACAATATTTAATAATGAAGTAAATTCCTTTATTGAAAACCAAATATATTGTTTTCTCTAAATAATACTTTTTTCTATCAAATAACATGATTTATTTCAAGTTAAAGAGCAACATTTTTATTTAAACAAAATGATATTTGATATTAAATTATATTACTTATATTAAACAAATCCAAGTAAAACAAACACGTACACTGAATCTAAAGAAATCTTTTCTCTGCGCAGCAGCGCTCACTACAAAAATAATTTTCCTGGCTATAATTATTTCACCGTGTAATTATAGCCACACATACCGAATAATTTTCTTTCACTGTAGTTATCATAAAATTATTATTATGTTATTGTTTGTATTTCACAGGTATGCGAGAAAGTATTCGTCTTCAAGACTCAATGGGACCTGCACATAAAAGGGATGAAACATAAAAGAGTCTTGAAGAGGAAGCAAAGAGCGGAGCAAAAGCTGCAGGAAAATAAATCGACGGAGGCCCAAAAGGAGGTTCCATTGACCAGCTCGTGACAGACATTTCTTTGTGAACAACAAAACGCGAACACTCGTCACTGCGTCGTTTACAAAAAAGGCTATTAAAACTGTGATCGTATAACATTGCATATTTTGTCAGTAACTGTCAGTGTGAATATCTCTTCGTGAAAATATACTTGTATTTTCGTTTCTTAATTCGAGTCCCCGTTATTAATCCACACTAAGCAGATCTCGACAATATCAGCGGTTGCTAACACACTTAGCAGCTGTTCACAAAAGAGATCACGATTCTGTACCTACTAAGTTACCTTTAGAGTTAAGTTACCACGTAGGTGTTGTGATCTACGGACAATAACAAGTCGTGGACTCTAAGTATCGATTGGATACCATTGACTCGCTGTCGATTATGTAATAGCCTGACGCAATCGATAAGATTGAAGATAAAACTAAAGTTAAACGATGTACTGCAAATAAATCGTAATTTTATAATTTTTTTTTCTTAAAAGATTCCTTATTTTCTCAATAGTTTCTAATCTGATTAATTCCGATGTCGAAAGTTTCTTCCTATTCGACGATATAGAATTTTATTACTAATATCGCGACTCGTAACGCAAACTTTGCAATTGATAAAAATCAACAGCTCACTTGGTGAAGAAGCGGGGTCTAGTTAGCCGAGACTTAAACCCATATAGCCGAGATACGAACCGAACTCGTCAGATGAACGGACTTCTTCCACACATTGCTGAATAACGGTAGATAATATATTACTTGTTTTTTCTCTTTTTTTAATCGGTTTAACTGACCTCTAGAGATCTTTATTTGATCTTATTTTAAAATAATACGATTAATCATTGAAACAAAAGCCTTTCATTTTCAATTCGTATATTTTAACGAAATATCATTTTCTCTCCCTCTTTTCTAATAACAGATGTATAAATGTCGCTAAATGTTGTTAATAACAATTTATGTTTTAAACATTTACGGAATAAAAAATTGATTGATTAATTCTTGATATTTCTTTAAGACACAATTAATCATTAAAAATAGATATTTTTTTTTTAATCTATTATTATCTAGACGACGATTCTTTCTTTCATTATCGCTTATCCTTAACTGAGACAGATATTAGGTTGGGGAAAAAGAAATCCATTATTTTTTCGGTAGATGGCTGTAGTGATCGATATCTCGTAAAGTATCGATCAAACAATTTCAGATTTAGGCTCGTTGGAAAGGTGACATTTCGCACTAAAAAAATGCTTTTGTTGTTTTTTGTTTGGTCCATTCAGTTGTGAGTTACAGGGTGTTAAAAATGGAAGTCAACAAAGAGAAAATTCGGTACATTTTACAGTTTTTCTTTGATAAAGGCGAAAATGCAAGCCAGGCGGCTGTAATTGTGAATGGTGTTTATAGTGCCGATACTGTAACAGCCAATTACGTGTAATTTTGGTTTCGTCGATTCCGTTCAGGTATTTTTGATGTTAAAGATGTACAGGTAGGCCCGTCGTCGAAAATATCGATAAAATAAAATCACAGAAATAACCGACCGGCATGTTAGCAGTCGTAGCATCACCCAGGAGCTAAAGATCGACCATAAAACGATTTTAAACCATTTGCACAAAGCTGGGTTCAAAAAGCTCGATGTTTGGGTGCCACACCAATTAACACAAAGAAACATGATGGATCCATCTGCGAAGCCTTGGCCAAACGGAATGAAATCGACCCATTTCTTAAACGGATGGTGACTGGGGGTGAGAAATGGGTCGACAACATTGTGCGAAAACGATCATGGTCAAAACGCGGTGAAGCAGCTCAAATGGTGGCCAAACCATGACTAACGGCCAGGAAGATTCTGCTGTGCATTTGGTGGGACTGGAAAGGAATCATTTATTATGAGTTGCTTCCATATGGCCAAACACTAAATTCGGATCTCTACTGTCAACAACTGGACCGTTTGAAGCTAGCGATTGACCAGAAACGGCCAGAATTGGCCAACAGGAGAGATGTTGTGTTCTATCAGGACAACGCCAGGCCACACATGTCTATAGTGACTCGCCAGAAACTACGGGAGCTTGGTTGGGAAGTTTTGATGCATCCACCATATAGTCCGGCATCAAGCGATTACCATGTTTTTCTTGCATTGCAAAACTTCCTTAGCGATAAGAAATTGGCATCAAGAGAAGATTGTGAAAATCGATTACTAGAGTTTTTCGCCAATAGGGACCAAGACTTCTATGAGAGAGGCATTATGAAGCTACCTTTAAAATGGCAACAAATTGTAAAACAAAACGGTGCATATTTGACCCAAATTGAACAATCCGAATCATGTTAAATAAAGTCTTGAAGTTTACGTAAAAATAATGGATTTCTTTTTCCCCAACCTAATATTTTTTCAAAGTCCTAGTCATAGATATTTTTGCCATATTTAATGCTAAGCCACTTGAAATTTATGAGATTACACAGGTTACTCAGACCTTCATAATGCAAACCTAATGACATCGATTACTTCCAGAATATGGTATGAATTATTTGCATTGGGTAAGTCGAAAGTACCATCCTTATTTGAATCTATCCAAAAATTGGAATCTTTGAACCTCACTTTGCTTCTGCGATGTGCAAGAAAGTTATATACCGGCCCCGGGAAACGTACCGATCCGAGGAAGCATATCGACTNGCGAATATCGTGAAAAATACAAAACTGCCTATAAACTAGACACGTGTAATACGGCAGTATTTTAATAAAAGATAACCTCTTAAAAGACAGTGAATGACTTTGTTAACATACATCCAATGTTTTACCTAGGAGACAGAGATGAATATATAAGCATCGTATACCGTCTAATATTGCGGAAAACTCATAATTAAAAGATGTATTAAGAGATACTTGACAAGAATGTATCCTGATAAAACAATGTCTGAAACTAGGCACAACATCAAGAATTGTTAGGACTGGCTAAGGTAGCAATTGACATTGTTATTGATGCACTCTGCTTTGGATTATCCTCAGTTGTTATGATCAAAGAACTGTGATATCACAAATTGCATTTACACAAGGACAAACTCTAACTTTATTCTTAAAATTCTAAAAATCATGGAAAATTGGTAAAACTTGCAGTAGTGGTAATGATCTTTATAATAATTTATCATTTTATGAAATATATCTTGGTCTATTTGAATTGATCAATCGTTTTAATAATATAATTTTTGTTTCACCATAGCTTCCACCACATGATACGACAGTTCTTCATCTTAAGAAGACTATGGAACAACACATGTATTTATCTTTTGTAAGAGAAAACGTCCCGAAGGTAATAAATTGCAAACACATTTGGATGAAATATCATCTTCTTTAGAACATATTAAACTTCTTTGTAAGAATGAAAATGATATGATACATGGTGTTATAAATTCAGTTGAATTACATTTTATGAGGAAACGTTGAATGTAAAATAAATTGGAAAGAAGTTAATATCTTGACACAACTTACTACCTACTTGTGTTACTTTTTACTTCTTGCCAACATTGTTTTATTTACTCATAACATTGTCATCAACAATTTATACGACTGACTAAGATAGCAGAGACTAAGGTAGAGGATATTATTGAAAGTGATCCACTTCTCTCTGGATTACCTTCAAATGTTAGGATAGAGGAGCTCACATCACAGATTGGTGTTGCACAAGCTATAACTTTATTCCAAACTCATAGAGAATTGCCAAAACTTGCAATAGCGGTGATGTTTATGATATTTATAATAATTTACCAATTTATCAACTATATGTTGGTCTATATGAGTGGATCAATCGTCCTAATAATATAATTTTTGTTTCATCATAAGTTCCACCACATGACACGACAGTTCTTGAGACGGTTATTTGACCAACACAAGTGTTTATCTTTTGAAGGAGAAAGCGTCCAAAAGGTAACAAGTTGAAAATATATTTGGAAGAAATATAATCTTTATTTCAAACATGTTAAACTTGTTATTTGTATGTAATGAAAATATTATGGTACATGGTATTATAAATTGAGCTGAAGTATATTTTATGAAGAAACGTCGAGAAAAAAAATTAAATGGTAAGAAGTTAATATCTTATGAACACGTGTAATACGTCAATATATTAACAATCGACGTATTTCTTTTGTCTTATAATCTAGTAAAATTTATATGCAAGAGGTTTGTAATAGAAAACATTAGCCGATTGCTGAAATATATTTTGGTGTGGATGATGGTTTATTTAGGCTTAAAATTCGGAAAAAAAAAACTGTCAACTTTAGACAGTGCGATTCAGATTGATGCAATTTTAAAGTCTACGTGAATAACTCAGAATTTTCTACAAATAATTTGATAATACATTAACCCGCGTAATGTTACTTGGTGCATCAACAACAGTTGGTTGTGTCAGTTTCTTCATTGAATTTTGAATTGACCTATGAGAACTGTATCGACAGATGCAATGATCAACAAAGTTCTATATGTAACACCTACTATTTGACTATTTGGAATCAATATATTTTGGATACGTGTTTTTTTAATTTAGCTACAGATATATATGATATAAACATGTATACATGTGTCTGAAATAAAATTTTAAATAGCAGGTAACAATATAAATTCTTGTTACTTTTTTGTTTATTTCACTTTTGTTCCCATATGATGAATGATGGTGTGGATGATGGTTTATTTAGGCTTAAAATTCGGAAAAAAAAAACTGTCAACTTTAGACAGTGCGATTCAGATTGATGCAATTTTAAAGTCTACGTGAATAACTCAGAATTTTCTACAAATAATTTGATAATACATTAACCCGCGTAATGTTACTTGGTGCATCAACAACAGTTGGTTGTGTCAGTTTCTTCATTGAATTTTGAATTGACCTATGAGAACTGTATCGACAGATGCAATGATCAACAAAGTTCTATATGTAACACCTACTATTTGACTATTTGGAATCAATATATTTTGGATACGTGTTTTTTTAATTTAGCTACAGATATATATGATATAAACATGTATACATGTGTCTGAAATAAAATTTTAAATAGCAGGTAACAATATAAATTCTTGTTACTTTTTTGTTTATTTCACTTTTGTTCCCATATGATGAATGATGGTGTGGATGATGGTTTATTTAGGCTTAAAATTCGGAAAAAAAAAACTGTCAACTTTAGACAGTGCGATTCAGATTGATGCAATTTTAAAGTCTACGTGAATAACTCAGAATTTTCTACAAATAATTTGATAATACATTAACCCGCGTAATGTTACTTGGTGCATCAACGACAGTTGGTTGTGTCAGTTTCTTCATTTCATAAGTAAGGAAACTCACTCGAGGATACATTATTTTTTATCTTCAGATAAGTTATCTTTGTATAAATTACCTACTATTGATTATGTAAATGAGAAACACCCACCAAAGGAAGATGTTTCCAGCCCACATGTTTCCGGAAAGTGAATCCTACATATACAATTTCATTCGGTCACACCCAATCATGGCAGCTTAAGCCTGTATCAGACTATGAATTGGGGATTGAATCGAAGTTCAGCAAATCAGTATAAAGTTAATTGACTTCAAGTTTAGTAAAATTTAGTGAATTCTACATACAGTTGATCATAATTATACAGATGTTTTGAGTATATTCAATCCAAACCTTCTTTCTTCTCCTTAATTGCTTCCTAAATAAGATTATATTCTTTTTAAAATCATCATGACAGGCAATATTACCTCTTATAGCGTACATACATACCTTAAAACGTTCCTCGAATAAAGAAAGTTCTGCAATTAAATCCGTAATAGCATGCATGAATGCCTCATGTGGTGTATAATCTGATGTAGTTTGTATTCTAATAACAAACTTGTGTTCTAGGGGATGTGGAACTTTGTAACCAGCAAATAACACTTGAGGATCTTTAAGTAATTGACTGTGAGGTAAAAATGGTCATTAATTGGCAACAGGAATATGATGAGAGTAGCATTCTCATTTACTTGCGAATCATGTTTCCTAGGGTATGGTCCTCTTTGTTAACCGTAAAGATAGCAGCATTGGGTACTTTGGTGTCTTGTTCCTTTATTATCCTACGACAATACGAACGGAATATATCTTCACATTATTTATATCGTTAGTTTCAAACAAATATCGAATGTTTCGTTTTACTTTTTCTCTCCTTCGTACAACAGAAACGATTCGAAAGTCGGAGGTGCATTCATATTTCCACGTTAATTATATGAATCCTCTTTTACGAAACTTATTTTTCTTAAGATAAATCACAAAAAATCATTACAGCAACCTAAAAATATAACGACACTTTAAGCCTTGACTCTCACTTATGATTGCGAGAAGCTCGTTCCTCCTACATCACTTGATACATTTGGTCTGTTCTTTATGGCTGCACTGCTGATTAGCTAGACAAGTAGTCTTATAGCTATAACATTCGTCTCGTTAATGGAACAAGTGTACGTGGTATTACGAGCGTGGGCGTTGTCTAGTGGAACGCACTCTATAAATACGGGTCTATTGGTTTGTGGACGATAAATTTCTAGTTCTTACCGAAAAAGGGCATGTTGATTGGCTACCGCGCGAACTTCGGCCGCAAGCATTGCTTCCTATTGCCGCGTCCTATGTATAGAAGCCGTATGACTTCCAGTAATAAAATTTAGTAACATCTAGACAAAAAAAGTATTGGACATAAGGAATAATCGATTTCAAAAACATCGAAAAAACAATCGATTTAAAGATGAAAGCGTAGAGTTAGCATTTGATCTGAGACAATTATATTTTGTCCTACTCTATTACACCTGTTCAGCAGTGCTGCTAAAAAGAACAGACCAATTACTGCGTTGTTCCATCGTTTTGCATCTTCTTCTACTCTTCTATAAGTTAAACTTTTAGATTAGGTCGAATATCGCAGTTTAAACTCGTCTTCAGTTTCAACATACCGAAGTTTTATTTTTACGCAGCTCTCCATTACGTACGAAAATAATAGTAAAATAATGAATACAATTTATTCGTACGATATTCATATACAGGAGCTATAACATACAATGTTGTACAGTTCTCACGGAGCTTGCAAACGCTGTCATTACATTATCTCGGAAGGAATAGCGTTTGTAGCGCAAAGTTATAACGTACGCACTAGTGACGTTATGATTTGTCTATCCCCCGCGAACAACATTTAGCGCTAAATAGCGCTAATAGCATCTCCTCGAACGCACCCTAACATTAATGTTTTAATTTCTCACTCAACAATGTTGATATAACGCGTGGGTTGTACAATAGTTGCATTGTTGAGCGGGACATTACAACATTGATGTTGGTGATATTCACTGGGTAATTATGTTACTAACATTAATATTGTTATAAAATGTATGAAACATCCTGTCGAGGTAATTTTCGTGTAAATAAGCCAACAAAGGTCAATTTTTGATTATAGAAAATTAGCACCTATAATCAAGACGTAGCATAGTATAATAATGATAGTATATATACGGCACTGTGCTCGTCGTTTAATTAAAGATGGAGGAGACGAGTAACGAGAAGTTCCTATCGCGAAGACGTTCCGCCGCTTTGAAAGCTTTTAAAGTAAAAGACGAAAGGGTGGCTACCCTCAAGAAGGTGCGTGCAGACCTTATTGTCGGCGTAATAATTCTTTATATATCATGTCCGGATATGTATTCCGCACTGTAACATCAGATGATCCGTCTTTCAAGTATAGATGTGCCATAAACAACACAAATTTCTCTAACAGGACGCAATTGTTTTTTTCTCCTTCAGGTAGCAGCAATTTTACAAAAGTCTGAAATAGAGAGGACGGCGGAGGAAACTGGAATACTTATTTCGTGCAGCGACGTAGTGAAGGAGGTTAATTTACGGTAATGGCTACTTAGCAAATGGATCATACTTTTAAGAATTATTCGCTTGGGACGCTGTCATTCGTAATTAAGTCTTTCCTCGTGGGAAGGAATTTGTAGGAAATTCGCAGAACTAAATTTAATATTTTTCGGATATTTGTTCTGAAATATATTTATCATATCAAAACAATGTAAAATCTTATTACCAATCTTAATACCAATTTATTAACAAATCTGCTGTAGTAGCGTTCTTTTTTCCTCTCTTTCCAAATTTCACCAAGAAAGAGATGGAAAGAAAACAAATCCAATATTTGTATGTTTTTGCACACACAAAAGTATTTATACACAAAATAAGAAATAAAGTTATCATTTGTAACAATGTTTGCAGACAAGAGAAACGAGACAAAATTAAAGCAAGATTAGAAGAAGTTGAAGATGCACCCGAGATCCTGGAGGAGAAGTGTATGCGCTTGGCAGCAGCGATCAGTAGAGCGACATCGCTGGCTGTGTACACTGGTGCTGGCATAAGTACAGCAGCATCTATCCCAGATTATAGAGGAACCAATGGAGTTTGGACTCGAATGCAGCAAGGAAAAGATATTGGGTATGTATCAGGGGATGTATAGGGTGTTACAACGAGTATGGTGCAAAATGTTGGATTTACAAGCAATTTATTACTTCTCCCAATATAGGAATCATGATCTGAGCCAAGCGGAACCAACATTAACACACATGGCACTTTACGCATTGTATAAAGCTCGAGTTCTGAAGCACGTGGTCTCTCAAAACTGTGACGGATTACACTTACGCAGTGGTATTCCGCGTAATCTTCTTTCCGAGGTTCACGGGAATATGTATGTGGAAGTTTGTAGAGCGTGCAAACCATCCAGAGAATACTGGAGACTCTTCGATGTTACTGAGAAGACTGCGCGATATCAACACCATACGGGAAGATTATGCCACAGATGCAATTCAATGTTGCAAGATTCTATCGTTCATTTCGGTGAAAGAGGTAGCCTTCCTTGGCCGATCAATTGGAATGGAGCAACCAGAGCTGCAAAGCAAGCAGATGTCATACTGTGTTTGGGTTCTAGTCTAAAAGTTCTCAAGAAATATCCGTGGTTATGGCAAATGGACAAACCTGTCCAGAAAAGGGCTTCACTGTATATTGTCAACTTGCAATGGACCCCGAAAGATGAAAACGCTGTATTAAAGATAAACGGAAAATGTGACGAGGTGATGAGGAAAGTCATGAGTCATCTTGGTTTGGATATACCGCAGTACAATCGTACGAAAGATCCGATCTTCTTCCACGCGGTAAAATTGCAAAATGGTGAACGGCTCTCCACGACTCAACCGTGTCTCGAAGAGCCACCTATCAAGAAGGAGCCTCTAAGTCAAAGCAGTGATGAGAATGTTGAGTGTACAGTGCGACAAACGACCGATGACAAAGAAGAAGACTGCGTGTCGACCGTAACCACCGATACAACGACTGCTTACCCAGCGCCATTTTTCACCGCGTTACCATTTCTGTCTATGGGCTTACCATTTCCTCCTATGTACATGTATCCCCAATTAACGCCGGTATTTTATTATCCTTTCATACAAATACCGAATACGCCGACAGAAGCACCGAAACCCAAACCAGCTTGTTCGTTTTGTATGGAACACGAAGGATCTCTCTCTTGTTTGTACTATCAACGTGACGGAGACATCACGTCAAACAAAACGGAACGAAAGCAAGAGGAAGAGGGTACGATTCACGCTCCTATAGCGTCTCCTAAGAATCCAGGCTGGTTTGGTAAAGGGTACCGTAAGGGCATGAAGAAGAAACGGTAGCATCCGCTCTATGTAATTTGTGCAGCCGTCTCTNTCTCTCTCTCTCTCTCTCTCTCTCTCTCTCTCTCTCTCTCTCTCTCTCTCTCTCTCTGGCGTCTGCTCTTTATCAAAATTGCAAAATAATCTTACGATATAGTAATGCGTACACAAGTATTTTGAGTCTCCATATCGTAACGCGACTCGTGCACATTTTGTAGGTTTATAGCAATTCGATTCCAGTATTCGAAGCTTTAACAGATAGACTGAAATTTCCCAAGTAATCCTTCGTAATATTTGAAACTAAGACAATCCACCATTATTTTTATCCTTACAATTATCGTCAAACTTCCAATGCGTTTAAACTTCCCTCGCGCGTAACCATACAAAGCAAGAGGCGAGAGGTCGTACATTTGAACTCGAAGCGAGCGATCCATCGGATTGGTCATCGAATGTTTTGGCATCGCAGAGCTACAATTCTGTCATTTTGCGAAATATTAATCTTCATCAATCTTAATTATACTTTCGACAACTCGTTGCTTTTTTTCTTCGAACATTAGGAGGTTCAATACGATGGCATATTTAGGAGTATACAAATGTATAGATACAACCTACAGACACGGGATGACTGAATCTTTTTTAATATGTGGACAAAGTATGCGAGCTCCTCGGATTAAACTGTAAGGACGGATCGAGTGGTAATGATTTGCCAAACATTGCGTACCGCATTGCGTGTAACAAACGCGCTTCCTATCAGTCAAATCGACTACAACGCACGAAAACGTATCGTTAAGAAAGAAAAAAACTCAAAAAAAGGTAAACAAGGAAAAAATTTGTCTTTTGAGCGCATAAAGCGTCTAATTTATTGGTACTTACGTATTATGTAAGATAATTTCGTTGATATTTACATATCATTTATAAGTTATATGTTGTATTTATAGCGAAAACTGCAATATATATATGTGTATATATATATATATATATATATACACACAGATGTATGTGTATATATATATATATATATACACACACATACATCTTTAATGTGTCCAAATTAAATCTCAATAAATTCATATCCGGAAATATATAACAGTCATATTCCACATTATTTTGTTTTTAAGAAAAGTATCGAGATGTTCAAACGTTCCCCTCTCTCTGCTAGTAGTCAAAAAACGTTTAATAAACTTCTACTTGTCAGAGATTCGTTATAAATATTTTCTCTCTCGATATTTTGTGGAAAAATTATTGATTCCGTCCTCCTCGTGTCCTCTCTTTGTATATTTATTGCTTTATTTAGTGTATATTTATATATTTGGGTTAATCCACTCGCTCCTTTCAGGGCTACTCGTACCGCTACTATCCTCTACGTATATCTTATAACTTGTGCAACACATTGCGCATTATGTTAAGTAAGCAAATAAAAGATAGACATGAAGTATTTATATAACATTTTTTAGGATATATATACACACAAATATATACATGTACGAATATTGCGAGAAATATAATTGTGCGACATTTTTTATAAAACAATCGCACGCGGAAAACTTATTTTTTATCGACATTCAAGAAGCTTGTTATTTAAAACTTGGATTATCGCTCTCGCTCATTTACCATTTTGTATTCCAGCAAGATGTATCGTTCGATATATTCTCCTGCGGATATCTTCAGGCGCGATTCTTATAACAATTCTTGCGCGATATATCAGTGGATACACGTTTATTCAGATGATTCCTCTCGTTAACGTCAAAGTAGTTATCAGCTGAAAGCGATACGCAAAAATTGTCTGTCAAAATTGTGACCGTGCTACATAATACACGTTTTTTATGAGAATATAAATTTTGTTTCGATATTTCACTATATACCGAATAAGACGAGAAATTTGATTTGTATTATGGAATAAATAAAAATTCACATATACAGTATATTAAGAAAAAGAATAAGAGAACGAAAGAAAAATACTCCGATATCATCGAGTTTTATTCTTTGTGCTAAAGAAAAAAAACAATGTTTTTTAATGATTTTTATCGTGAATAAAGAATCGCTCGTGCAATCTGAACTAATCAACGAGTCTTTTATAATTGCTCTTCTCCTCTCTCTCTCTCTCTCTCTCAATCGCACACACATACACACACACACAGAATACGTGAAAAATACATCCCACGGATAAAATTGTCGTTCATGATGCGTGAAACACGCTGTCGCGCGACATACTGTCGTATATCATGCCGTTGATAAGAGCCGATACGTACAATCGTATATAAATGACGAAATTGTTGATGAAACAAATGATTTAAAGAGAGAATAACACTAAATTACGGTGCGACATTGGCGATCGCACGGTGCAGCGGCACTGAGCACGAGAGGGAGCGGGGTATAAGGCACGGGCGTGGGCGCTTCGCCTCTGTATATTCCATCTCTCCTGCTGTCGGTCGCAAATAATTTTCGTTGCTCGAATCGTCGTCGAGCTGTTCTCGGCTTCCTCAGTGTGGGCCAAAGTAGCCGCTTCTCGAGGAGCCCTTTTCGTGTCGTGCATCGACATCCTTCGCATGCTCGTCGCCGTCGCGGAGGCAATGCGCTTTTAAACGGATGAACAGTAACGAACGGGTGCGCGACGAGATCGACACATTGACGACGACGGCGGCGACGACGACGGCGGCGACGACGACGACGAAAGGCAGAAAAAACGAAACGAGAAGCATAGAGGGATATCACCGGGAGTATGGACGAGCCTTCGCCTCCGTAAACCACGTCATCGGGCGAGCACGTTATCCGGAAGGCTATACTCGACCAACAAGACGAAATTCGTAGAGACTGGTGAGTCGAAAGTTGCAATCGAAGAAGAAAGAACCGCCGTGCAGGGGCGGAGGCAGATCGGAGAGCTACGTAGGCAGGAGAGAGGAACGAGTGTAGAGAAGGGCTAAGACCACTAGAGAGGGAGAGATCGAATGGCCTACAGTCTGTCGCCATGGTGATTCGCATCGCCCTATATCGCGTGGACTTCTCTCTCTTTGACTCGTTTCGCTTCGTCCTGCCGCGTACATTAGGTGTCGTCCCGACATTCATCGAGCGCATCTTTTCCGAAAATTTTTCCGCAGAAGAGATCGTGACATTTGACAAGTGTCAGTCAATTGTACACATTCACACTTCGACTCGATTCTCGAAACTCTCTCGACGTATCTCTTCCATTATCTCCGAAAGTAGACAATTTTCTTCCGAACTGGCAACTTGTTGCGATATGTGGTAAACACAACAGCTCTAACGTTATATGAGGAAGAATATATATATATATATATTTATTTATTTATTTATTTATTTATTTATATCCTCGTATATGCACGTAGCAAATGTTTGAGCGTTCAGCGTCACGTATACGGTGGATGTGTTTCATAAAGTGTTCGAACGGTCCGGTAGCACGTAGCTCCTTGACCTCGGGACAAGAGGCTGCGTATTCAAAATACGGGCTGTATCAGCCGGAAACGCGAAAGCTGGTTATAAAAAGGTACTCCAAGTGGTACATTTCATTGGCGTTGGTATATTGGCTCAACATTGACCAATAAAGTGCGCTATCAAGGATGGTGGTTGCTTTCCAGTCGTTACAGTCGTAACATCATTTGTCCTTATTTCGCATTTGATAAAGAGAAAAATAACAGAGATGATACAACTCGCACGCGACTCATATCTTTCGCTGAGACCAGGGACGTAGAAATGAGAGAAGATCGTTCGATAACTCGTCGGATTATTTGATCGGGAGAGTAATTGTCTAATCTTTAAAGAAGAAATTTATAAAGAAACGTTTGAAATATATTACCGATGTTTGAAATATATTGTGTACAAATTAATTCTTTTTTCATGAAACACAAAATTGATTTACGAAAGTCAGGTACAAGTTTAATGTTTGAAAAAATTTCCATTATTTTCTATGACTTTACTCCATCTGTTGGGTAGCTGATGAAAAAACTTGACGGTTTTGACTCAATAAAGTCATCGATGCTTTTTCGAACCTCGTTTTTAAAATGCGCCAGCTGATGTTGAAGCGACCAAAATAGGTGGTAATCTGACGGGGTTAGATCTGGCGAATAAGCCGCATAAGAGAGAATTTCCCAGCCCTGATGAGATCCTTCGTCTCTTTTGCAGTATGTGACCGCGCATTATCGTCCAGCAGAATCATCTGTCTCAATTACATTGCTTTTTACAAATTTTATGTGTCACAGCTCCTTTACCCAAAGCGGAACAAATTATTTCAAAAGAGAGACTGCATTTTTATTCAATTGGAGTGCAAAAAGGATGATGCTTCGAACAACATCGCGATAACTACTGTTTTCTGAGGTTATTTCGACAAGGCTGTTATAATGCTTCTTAAAGCTTAAGGCATTTTCAAATATACCATAACACAGGGAAAATATTTAAATCTGAACCAGAGTTACAGGACATTAAAAGGCACCGTATTAATTTGTAATATGTGTAGTACTTTCGATAAGGTGTTTGAACAGAGTGTACAATTGTTGTACGATTCTTGTCATGTTGAATATATGCCCAGACAACATAAAAATTGGGACATTTGAAAAACGTTATTTATCTGATATTATCTCGTTGTTTAGATATTTTCGTATGTCCTACTTGGAAATTAATTGTATCGTGCATTTTTTGTCGTTTCGTGCGTAGGTTATCTAATCTTTCCGTATTTGCTGGTGTGTTATCTCTCTTTCCCTCTCAAACAAATCGTTCGTCGATCGCGCGGATGGAGATCTGCTCTGTTCTAAAGAAGTTATTCCACGTAATACGATCTCGGAAATTATTATCTCTACTGTATTGAATTATTCTCTCTATGGTATTGAGATAAAGCGGTATCGGAAGAAGCGATATCTACACGAGAATGTCCCAAACGGTTCAGATAGAACGGGTGAAACTGAACAGAAAATACCATTTTACGCAAAATTTGCAATAATTAGTGAGGAATTAAGTATATTGTCCGGGCTAATGAACAAAAGGGTACATTAGACAGAGAAAAATTGCTTATTTCTGAAAATCTAGCAACGATGAGCATCAACTAAAGGCGGAGTAACGCGGCATGTGACATTGGAAAAAAAACACGTTTCTCACTATCAATATATATCGTTGCTAAATTTTCAGAAATTTTCAGAAATTTTTCTTTATACACGTTTCCCGCGCGTTAGAAAAATAATTAATTCCTCAAACTATTGCGAATTTTGCAAAATGGCATATAATTTTTCTGCTCACAGGAACGGGACATCCTGCATATTAGATGAAAGGAAATTCAAAAAAAGTGTTGCAAACGTCCTGACCGTACATGATTAACGCGCTTCACCGTACAACCAACTCTTACCGAGAGCTCCCGCGACCTAGCGGCGGCTTGACGCATTAATCGGTATTGTGCCGGAGCCGGAGCTGGAGCCGCCGGAGAAGCCGCTGCAGTGTCGCGTGCATCGCGTGTGTCTACCGCGCTTCGTTTTTACTTCCACCTCATCGTCCTACCTCTCTCTCTCTCTCTCTCTCTCACTCACTCACTCACACACACGCATATCCCCTCGGTCTCTCCCCGTCCATCGCGTATCGTCCGTGCCGCCCGAGTTTCGCGGCCGGCCTGTGCGAGCAAGATCGACGCACCGCCGTCGTCCATTAACGCGCGCGTAATCGTGCAGCGTCGCGGCGAGAAGCGATACTCGCAATGGCGCGATCGTGTCGCGCCGTGGATTCGACGTGTGCATCGCGTAGATGATACATCGGTTGCTGATTCCTGTGGTATGGTGTTTACGTCGTGCGACAGGATCTATCGTCCGCGTTACCACGACGGTACAGCGAATAACTCGACGACGGATCTCGGACGCGAGCCGCGTCGTGAGCCGCCATGAGACGCATCAGCGGTAAGTCATCGTTCGCGCGATCGCCGACCTTACGCGCGCGCGCCTCTTCCCGCCCGCGGAAACTCCTCTCCGTAGCTTTCGACTTTCGCGCTTTCTCGCTTCGTTTCGTCAGGTCGATGTTACACTGTGGTAGCACGTTGTAACGCCGCGTCGTATGTTCTGCACACGATCCGATCAATCCATTGTGTATCAACCGCGAGAGTTTGTAAGCTCGAATTTTCGACCGATTTACACGCGGTCTGTAAATCTTTGTGCGCACAGCTATTACTGTGCTTGCATACGATTTGTGCCACCTCGAGATAGCGCGTGCAATACTGTAGCATACAGTGTATACCGATTGTTTCCTCGCAACTTTTGCGCTTGAGGCGAAAATTCGCATTCAAACGACATCACAAATACATACGGACTAGTTTCTAAAGTATGAACATACTTTTCGTACTCGCTATCCGAGTATGTATCGTCGCTGCATACACAGAGTTTTCCAGTATTAATATAAAATATAAATAAATTTACTTTTTATCTCGCGCGGTATATCGTGCAGATTTTTTTCTCGAAGAAAATGTACAAATTACTTGTGTGTAAAATTCGCTGGAAAAAGACTTGTTAACTCGCGGGTGATGAATGTGTTCCATATTGACGATCCATATCGAGCAATCTTACGTGTAATCGTGAATTCTCACACGTTGTAAAGCAACATTTAAGAAATATTACGATCAGAATAATAGCAACAGCAGCCTCTCAAGAAATAGCTACAGAATCGCGTTGTGGAGGCCGTTTAATCCTCGCTCTTCCTCCCCCCTTGAATGACAATAGAAAACTCGTACGGTGAAGTCGAGCCAATCCGAGACAAGCCACGGGAGCGAAATTCTCTGCTATCGTTCATTTAGTCGTAAAGTCCTTAAGGTTCTCGTCGACGTCGTAAATTAAAACGGATCGTCTCGTAAACCCGCTTTTGTAAGTGACGAATGATGTCATTTGCTTATGTATCATCGGACGGATTGCTCCTCCATGAGTTTACCTTTACTTCGAGAAACGCATATACGAGAATCACTGATGGATAACGACTACTGTTAATTGCGATATATTTGTATAAAAGTTTCAACGAGTGATTCTTCCGTGTCGAAATTCTCGGGAAAAACAAATTGACGGAATCGCGTCCCGATGTTGCGCCTTCCGATCGAAACTAACGCGAGCTTCATTAACTTTGATTTCAAGGCGATTCGCGGTTAAATTCACCCGCATCATTCTTATGCACTGGATCAGTCCTTCTCTCTCTCTCTCTCTCTCTCTCTCTTATTCCATCGCGTATAACCAAATCAGCGGTTTCGATGTATGCGACGTACGCGCTTGGATCGTATCCAAAGTGCCAAATTGGGCGAAATCACTGACGGCAGGTTACGGCTCGTTAAAGCGAATCCAACTTCCCGAGTATCGATCTCGTCGATTGGCGACATTAGAATTTTCAATACCAAGGAGAAGAAGGCTTTTTTTGTTTTTGCGGAACTACATAAGCGTTCAGTTTCTCAAATTTTTCAAACGTGTACGAAGGACGACGAATATTCTGACACTCGCCTTGTCGATCGCGTGATCGTTCGCAACATCCGCGCGATATCTTATTCTTGCGACAGACACGCGCGCCGTTCTCGTGTGTGACACCCGCTTCTAACCGCTTCCCCTAACCCGCTTCTAACGTTATCTATAAACACTCGCTTTCCTCGCGGCTCGCTGAGGAATCGCGTTCGACGCGATCGATTCGTTATAGTTTGCTGCGAGGGCATGTGCGAAGGGTGGGAGGAAAGTTTGAGAAGGAAAAGAGACGCGCGACCAGTAAGATCGCGGTGAGTGCCATCCACGGGAGAGAGTGCATTCGACATTGGCTATGTTCCGATATTCACTGCCAGTACTGAAAATCTATAGTATACGTAACATGAACTATATCGATTTTCAGGACTGGAAGCGACCGATATCGGAACGCAGCCATTGTGTCGCTTAAAGCCACGAGAGTTGCCCGCCTCCCTCTCTGGTTCTCTCTCTCTCTCTCTCTCTCTCTCTCTCTCTCTCTCTCTCTCTCTCTCTCTCTCTGAACGAGTCAATTCGAGAAAAAAAAACCCTCCTTTTTTCTCTCTGCATTTCGAGTGTTCTATCTATTTTTTTCCGTCTCGATGTTTCGTGTTCGAGCAGCATCGAGCCAATTTGCGGAAACAGACATAATGAAAACTGTAGTGTTGAAAAGAAAAAAAAGAAATGACAGACAATGGCAACGCGCACACTCTGCCTTTCAATTCTCTAATCAGAGAGAAATCAGTGCGCGATAATACGCGACCGTTGTGCTTCGTTTTTATCGAGGTGCGAGGATATTCTCGCTGACACACTTTGCCGATGACCGCGGGGAAAATTTTATCGACAATGCCCCTATTCGCAATTATTCGCCGCACCGCTTGATTATCGATCTGGCTTTCAACGTTATCACGCCGCGCAAACGTGAAAACAGATATACTCTCTACGACTAGATTACGAGAGAGAGAAAGAGAGAGGGAGAGAGAGAATTCGCATTTCGTTTATTTGCAAAAAGTGACCGTTTTTTCTGCTTTTAAATTTGGTTCCATCATGCAGTATGTACATTAAATCGTATTAAGACAACATTCCTTATCTATGCGTATCGCATTATTAGAGCAAAAATTATCCGGTTTCTTGTCTTTCGACGATTATTCGCGCCGTCGAGACACCGATACGAAGAACGATAAAGAATACAAATCAATAATAGAAAACGATCGAGCTATCGATTATAATTGCAGGGCAAGACTACTCGTTCCTGCCCGTCCTTGACGAGGATCCACTTCGGCGATCGTCCACCCCGATGCATTATGCAAATTGCTCGGGCCGGTCGCGGGTTGCCGCGCGCGTATTATTTCTTTTTGTTTTTTTTTGTTTTTTTTTTAACTTCCCTTCTCTCTTCCTCCGCGAGAACGCCGAGAGGCCATCCAGCGTATTCTTAAGTCGCGTTCACATCTACATGACCTCTTCCCGTATCGCAGGATACTCCGTGGAGTATCTTCTGGGATATCTTTCGTATACTATATCTGTGATTCATTTTCGTGATGTTGGATCGAAATTAAACGAAGCGAAATTATCTGCTTCGTCGACAGACGAGAGAGCAAGAGAGAAATAAAGCGCGATCTTCGCCCTTTTAACGATGCAAGAGGACAGACTAGAGTCATCGTCGAAAAAAACGTAACTTCTCACGAGAATACATACATGCTTTTCTTCGTATCTTTGAAAATAAATACATTCGAAAACGCATCGACACGTTGTTGCAATACTTCGATGCTGCACTGACACGCCATCCAACTGAATTCGGTCTACGAAAGGTCAGAGAGCGTGTTTTTCGTGTGTTTTACAGCTTTATCGTTCGACAAAGTGTACGATCATACCGACGCGCACGTTGTTCCTCCTTTACCTTTCGTATAGTTATATACACGTGTTGAACAGCGATCGGTCGAACTGCCTTACACACGAAGATTGACGATTTTATATCGAGGGATCTCGATAAACACACACATACACACGCATATTACTTACTTTCTCCTCGAGTTATTAAACAAAGGCAGAGATATGAAAAGTACATGATAATAATTCCAAGTGAGAGAGAGAGAGAGAGAGAGAGTTTATCAAAGTTGGCACTGTTAAGGTTGCAAGATCCAATCGGTGATTTTCTCTTCCCTCGTAGTAACCAATAGCCGCATAGTCCCAACAAGGTCGAACGGGACATTCCCTCCGACGCGCGTAACCAAAGTCACGCGCGCGTTTCTTTTCTTCCCCTAGAAAGGGCGAGGGGAAGGAGGCGGGCGCTTAAATTGTAACCTTTGGAAAAAGGCGCGTCGTGGCTGTTGCGAAACTTGCGCCGCAACAGCCGGTCGTTCGATCAATGAAACCTCAGTCGCCCTTTTTCCCCTCTTCCGACCGGTCGTTCTCTCGACGTTTCCATACGTCGATTCACATGCTGCGCTTTTCAAAAGCTACCTACGCGCTAGTAGCTCGGCAGAGCAGGGGCGGCCCACGCCGGGCTCCGCCAGGGAACCCGTTCACCCACCTTCGACCTCGCCCCTTCGCGTTTTGCCCACCACCAACCGTGGTTTCACCGGGCCGCCGCGCTTGCGCCCGCACGTTTTCGATAGTCCTGTTTCTCTGCTCTTTTGCGTATATGCCTTCCTCCGGCCGAGTCGCGAACAGTGTCGACCGTTTTAGACGCGTATCCCCGAGATGTTTGCTGTTCGCCGTGTGATTATCTAGTCGCGTTACTCGAATGAAGATAGAGGCGCGCTAACTGATCGAGCTCACAATAAAAAAGGGTCCTTTGTGCGCGAGACGAAGGCGCACAAATGGCGATCACCGCCGTGACCAACTGTCTGGGTCCCCCGCCCTTGCCGCCCGGCAAGCGATTTCTGCAAAAGTCGTCGAAAAAGCTGTCGTCCACTTATACGAGTTTCCGCGACCCCGCCGTAGAGGCCTGGCTTCCTCGCGGGATCCTCGAGAATCCAACGGGAAAGAAAGTGCGCGAATCAACGATCACCACCAAGCAAGGTTTATTCAAAAGTTGCTCCGAGGGTAATCTATGCGAAACACGCTACGTTACGTCTCTGGACAAGTGCATCAGGGCGATTTATGGCAGCTGGAAAAATCTCTTGCATCGTAAGTGTCAGGAAAGTTCGTTTGAGATCCTAGAAGATCGAGGAGGAAAAAAGCTCCTCCCCGATAGATGACGTATCTAATTGATAAATTTCATTCTTTCAACAATCTTCTCATTCCCCCATATAGCGTTGCGTGTATAGTCAAAGTGCGCTATTCCATATTATCGGGCAGCCCAGCCTCGAGCTTGTTTCTTCCCGATCGCGACACTCTGGTTGCGTAATGGACTTTACGCTTTCGTTGTTTCGTTGCCAGTGGACTGCAATGGTAGAGCGACGGCTCGCCGCTCGTACGAAACGAGTCTGCGAGCGGAGGGTACAACAAGGACGTCAATAGGAACGTAACGGTTGAAAGAAAGAGGTAGAGAACGAGCAGAGTAACCGAGAGAGGGAAAGACCAAGATGGAGCTCTACGGCCGTCGTTACGTCGGCGGCTCCGAGCGGCTTCGACATTACTGGATAAGGCGCATTTTCTCGTGACCAACGACGTACACACTGACGGTCGTGGAAATGATGAAAGCAAGAAAATTCTTTCTAAAGCGTATATTTATTGAAGAAGAAGATCTAACTGAAATTAATCAATTATGTCGCAAGTAAAACATTCGCAACACACAGGATCGCGTACACACAAATGAATTTCGTTCCGCTCCTTCGAATCGAAGATTGAAATCGGTCCATATGGAAAATTGATTAAATCTACGCTTTCTCGCACAATCGTTCAGATAAGGGACCGCCAAGCCAAACCATCTCGTCGTTTCATCGACCACCTTTGGTGCCAACCTCGCCGTTGCAACGATCGTTGCATCACCCGATCGTAAACTTGCGTTCGGGAATCGATTCATTCGTCGACGTGACTTTGTACGTTTACGCTCTCGAGAAATCCGATTTCAAGCCGATGCATATATAATGCATTTCATTAGTCGCAGACACATATTGGTACGTAGTTTACTTTTTTACTTCCGCGCTAATGTCCTGTGTGAACGCCGTATCGCGTAAGAGGTATCGTTTGTAACGAGACACGTGCGATAGCGTGTTGGCATCGCTTACGAGTAAAGAAACTTTACGCTCTGGAAGAACCTATATCTGAACGAAAAGGGAGGGGCGACGTTTGTTGAAATAAACGAGAACAGCTATCGAGAAGCGCGATGAAAAGTTGGGATCACGACATCGCTGATATTTCACGCGGTGCGGTATATATCGAGACGACACGTGTGACGCGCGGAAACGCCCACACATCGTAATTCTTCGGTAGATCCGAGCTTATTCCTACTGTGCGATGCCAGGCACGCGTGCTAATTCGATTGTCATTCGCGAATATTGTCAAATATCGTCGCTATTCGCTCACGTAGGATTTATCTCGTTCGTGCTCGACTGCTTGACTTTAGCTAATAATATGTACATAATTTACATTCGAAAAAAAAATACAATTGGATACAAATTGGATGTTTCGTTCGTAAATTACGTTAGTGAATTACGCGGCTCTGGTCGTACAGAGCGAGCTTTCGCACAGTGAGCGCATTGTGCTCTCGCGACGACCTTCGTACGACCGATCTCGTGCGCGATATTCATTTTAATCTCAAAATACATGTGGCAAATTGTAGATGATTTCGAATACTCATCCCCCCGTCTCTCTTTACTTGCTCTATACTAAAGCTCTGCTTTCGACGTGTACGATTCGCGCGCAAGACGGATAGTCGAGCGAAAGATACATCTATTCTTCGAGAATTTCTTTGGAGAAAGTATAAGGTACCAGATACGATCTTCAAGCGTATTTTTTTATATTTACGCGAATTGACATCACGCTTCCTTTGCTCCTCGTTTTGCTATCGATACGATAGAAAGAAAGAGCGACATCCATCACATTGTCAAATGATTTTGGTCCTTGGACTCTATATCCGTCTATAATTTTTCCCCATGCGCGGTTCTTGACACGTCGTCCGTAAAGACGATCTGTCCACATTGCGCAAAACTCGTCAATCTAAAACAAATGTATGTGATCGTTTATTTCATAAATGCTTTCTTTCCGCTCGCATGTTACAGTTGGCGGTATGAGCCGGCCGTCCAAAGCCGTGACCCAAGCGAAGAAAGTAGCACCACCGGCTGTACCAGACGTGTTTCGACACTCTGGCTCCTCTTTCGGCTCGGCTGGATATGCTAGCAGCGAGGATAGCTGCTTCCTCTCCGGAAGCGGCCCCGGAGGTACGACGGACGATGGTTCCTACGGGATGCCATCTGGAAAAAGTCCGGGACCTATTTTTACCCATCCTGGCTTCGCCTTCCCGCCGGTCGTCGGCAAATACGCCCACGCCGAAGACCAAGGTGCGAGTTATCGATGAACATATGCATCTTGCGATATTAATAGATTGTTTCCTTATATATCCAAGGCGGTATCAAGCAGCATTCGAACGTAGTCAGTCGATGATACACGGGGAAAAGATAAATTTCTACAGTATCTCGCACGGATGTCAAGACGTAGTCTTCCGATTATTCCAAAAATTTTACGAACGATTGTGTTGCGCGACTAATACAACTTCTTCCAAGTGTAAATTGCCGTTGCCGATTAAATCTTTATACCGTGTTGTTCCCCTTCTTTTTATTCTCTCCTTTGTCCACGTGCCGATAGAAATATGTTCTCGCCATGTACGAATGTATTGTTGATGAATATATTGATGCCGCTAATGCGGCATCATTTTTCGAGCGCGATCGTTTCACGAGATGATCAACCGAGAGATACGAATGGAAATTTTAGAGATCTCGCATCCTTCGTATGACTCAGTCGAACGTTCAATCGATCTGTAGGTATCGACATGACCCAGAGTCCCGGAAGAGACAGTCCTGGCAGTTCGGGCTCGGGTTCCGGTTCTAGACATTCTACGGCGTCGTTGGATTCCGGAAGAGCGTCCGGATATCATCTGGGACCAAGAGGACCCGGTGCTCTCGCCTCGTCTCCCAGATGTTCCATTAGTTCTCTCGGGAGTCATCCCGATCGACCGGCGGATCTCGACGTTGTTCATGCTTGGTTAACTGAGCTCCAATTCGAGGAGTACTTTCCTTTGTTCGCTTCCGCAGGTTACGACCTTGCTACTATAACGCGCATGACACCGGAGGATCTCACGGCTATAGGTGAGTTTTACAGCAACGACGCGTTTACACGTGTCGTTCGCATAAATTCGCGCAGCAACAGTTTCTCGCCTAGTAACGGATGTACAACACTTTTCAATGTGCCGACATATATACGAGGGCGGTCCGATAAGTACTTAGCCTACAAAAGAAAAACGAAAATTTTGGAAAAGTGGCGATTTATTTCTCAACATAGTCTCCTTTTAGCTCGATACACTTGACCCAGCGATGCTCCAACTTCTTTAACCCACCTGAAAAATACGTTTTCTCGAAGTCTGCAAAGGCCTACGTGGCGGCGATGACCTCCTCATTCGACTCAAATTTCTGCCCGGCGAGTGACTTTTTCAAGTTTGGAAACAAAAAAAAAGTCGCACGGGGCCAAATCTGGAGAATACGGTGGATGGGGCAGCAGTTCGTAGTCCAATTCGACCAATTTGACCGAATGAGGAGGTCATCGCTGCTACGGAGGCCTACTTTGCAGACTTCGAGAAAACGTATTTTTCAGATGGGTTAAAGAAGTTGGAGCATCGCTGGGTCAAGTGTATCGAGCTAAAAGGAGACTATGTTGAGAAATAAATCGCCACTTTTCCAAAATTTTCGTTTTTCTTTTGTAGGCTAAGTACNTATATATATATATATATATATATAGGGGACGAAATTTTCGTTTCTACGTATCGAGCCTTGTATCTTGATAAATTATTTACAGTTCTTTTATCGTATCGATAATTAAAAAAAAGTTTATTTAAAATCATCCGTCTAATCATTCGTCATACATTACGCAGGTATTACGAAACCCAATCACAGAAAACGATTGAAAGCGGAGATAGACAATTTGAACATAGGAGATGGACTGCCGGAACATGTACCCGGCTCGCTGGAAGAATGGTTGAGGCTTCTCAGGCTCGAGGAATATCTCGGCGCTCTTCATCAACAGGGTATGCGATCCGTCGAGGACGTGACAACTATTACTTGGGAAGATCTCGAAGACATCGGTATCGTACGTCTAGGACATCAAAAGAAATTATTATTGGCAATTAAAAGAGTTAAGGATATTCGCGCTGGCAAGCGTATACAGCCGCTTGATCTAGCACGCCTGCCGCCGCATCCTGGTCATACGCAGGTAAATGATAGTTACGATCGATAAGCTTTATCGCGATCGAACCCCGTTGGTATCTACCCCCCAGGCTGGGACTTCTACTTGGAAAATATATGGATTGTCCCTCAGGACGTTGTTATTCAACGTGGCGGGCCTGATTTACCGTCGCCGGACGAGGATTGCTCCTCGCCTGTGCTCAGATCTTTCCAAAGAGGTGACAGCGCTTCCGGTGCTGCTTGGAGAAGTATGTACGCCGCGCTTCCAGCCGATTATAATACGGTCGGTCGTACCGGCTCCCGGGGAAAATCTTTGGAAAGCCTGGAAGACGCTCCTCTCGGTTATCCTCCGTCACCGGCACCGCCCTCCTCCCATCCGCAGCTCCTCGATTGGCGTCCACGCAGTTTCGAGGACGGCGATCTTACGCCTACGAACGACGCTTCTTCGGTGGATACTGGTGGCGGCGGCGGTACTCTTCCACGACCGAGACATTGCCTTGTTCGTCCGCGGCCTGTAGCTAAGGTACTGGATCTCTCTCTCTCTCTCTCTTTCTCTCTGAACGCGTGCGTTCTCACCTCAGGTATTATTTCAGGTCACTGCGACACCGGGCCAATTCAAGTCCTTGCCGAGAGACTTTGACAACAAATATCAGTTAACTTACGGGCTCGAGAGTAGTCCGCACCTTCCGAAACGGTGTCCTCCGTCGCCACCGAGGCGACAAAGTTCCAGGGACGCGACCAGTTCTTCCGTGGTACCGCCATCACCTGGGCCGACAGTTGGCGACGTTGTGATAGATTGCAGCGGTCCGGTGCCGACTGCTTCGTGCGATGATCATCACATTCACCATCATCATCAGCATCACCATTTGCTTCATCATCCGCCGCCGCCGCCACCGGCACCCACGCCAGCACCTTCCACACCGTCGCAACTAAATCGACCGCCTTCCTCTATGTCACGCTCCTGGGGTAGCGTCAGTGTTAACGTTAATGAGGAACACGAGCTGATCGCTTCTCTCGCTTTGCAGCATCGTAATGGATCGGACGCCAGTTTCAAGGTAAGATTTGTTTGTCGTGTCGTTTCACACTTTGTCGTCGAGGCTTTTGCGATGCTTCGCATTCGCTCTGAATTCTTCACTCGCATTTGACCTTGTTGGACATCGAGTGATTTCTCTTTTATGTCCTACTTTGATGTTTATAGTCAAGTTCCAGTACAGAATCTGACTCATTGCCCTTTGCTAATGAGAATGCCGGCACGATAAAGCAAAGGGCTGGTCGAGCGCAAGAGTACGTACCAGCTGGGCCGAACAGTGCAACAGGCGGCCACGTAGTCAATCATCATTCCAGTGGGAGTGAACCCGCGGACGTTTTGAACGATATCGGTAATATGCTTGCCAATCTCACGGATGAACTGGACGCGATGCTCGAAGAGGAAAAACGCCAAGGCCTGAACTCATAATCGTCACTGCCTTCGTTTGCACTTTTTTAATTGACTAAAGTTGCCATAAAGAACACAAATCTAATGACTCTTGTGGTCCCTGGTGGTACTTGGGATAAAAATTCGATTAGTGCGGCGTACACATAGAGAGAGAGAGAGAGAGAGAGAGAGAGAGAGTCGTGAACGTAATTCAAAAACGTTTCAAACGGAATCCTAAACAAGGTGCCCGATAGATTCTTAACGATCCTATAAGAACTTCCAAGACGGAGATATATACCGACACACCGCACACTCGTTACGTTTTTCTTCGTACAGGAGAAAAACAATGCCATGATTAACATGTTGTAACGCTCTAATGGATTTCTGTTTTGTATTGTACAGAGATTATAAAGAACGTATTTTCGCGCCTTTTATACTTTGTTTCGATCGCTTTGCATCTCTCTATTCACCGGGAGAGGAAAGCGAGAGCTTTATCATTGTATGGAAACATACAATATTAGGAAAGAAATATTAAACGTTAGATTTTCCGTAAGGTTTTCGACGCCTACAACAGTAGCGTTGCGCAATTCTCGTTTTTTTTTTCTATTTCTTTCAAAATAGTCTTAGTTTATTGCTCTTTTCTTCGTTCCCCTTTCTTCTCCATCCTCTTCTTTTGTTTCTTTCTTTTGTACGACGGATATCACTCTAACGAATGATGACATCAATCTACTCCATACACGATAAGTTTTTATGCGATTTATATATAAAATATTGACATGGCAGGGGGAAGGGAATCAATTTTCTTACGAATAAGAGTTATTTGTAAATGTATAACCTATGATTTATGTAACATCTGCCTATCTACAGAACATACGATTCGGAAAGAAGCAGATGCATCTTCCGCCGTGTGTGGTTTACATTTGTAAGATATGAAATCTGTGACGAGGGTTCCTCTTCTCTGAGATTTTCATTTCCGTTACAAACACTACATTCCACTTGCGCTATTTTCCATTTCCGTCCTTCGTTGAATCGATCCTATATAATACGATATAAATCGGAACTTTTTATTCACGATTATATATCTCGCTTTGTTACATGTATGTATAATTGTGTCTCTTATCTTCCCCGAACGAATCACTCCATTAGAGAAACTAGAGATATTTGTAGAGATGTTACATGATTACAATGACGAAAAATAATGAAGATCCTTGCCTATATTCGTGATACTTTTACGGAAGATATCACAAGACATGCGGAAAAGAATGCCTTCTAATGAGAATTCTGTAAGAAACGCTATCGACCGCCGCGCAGATAAGATTTCAATGCAATACGATTTAGTACAGAAGCACACGAGTAACATGTATATGCCAATTAACATTTTGTATTTATTATCTGTACTAATGAATATAGAGAGACGTACATATAACACTCACTATTATTGTATGGGTACATCCAGATGTGCGATTCATTTGGAAAATATTCATACGTGTTAAATCAAAGTAATTGTAGCTGTAGGGTGGGGGTAGGGAGGGGGCATGACCGAGTGGTTTTCGTTGAAAATGTGTTACTGGTACGTTTCGAGATCTCAATGTAGTGTTTTGCAAGAGATTTTCACAGGAGATACTCCTTATACAGCATAAGAAACATTTTTTATTCATCCTCGGAATTGCGCTGGCAGAAATTAGAAATCCTCGGAATAGTATCGTCCCATCTAACGTTTTTAATACATATAAAATGGGCCACAGGAAAGTTCACGATATAATATCTAAAAATGTTTATATTAATTTGTGTTACATATATAAATCTTCCATTCACGATTCAGTTATTGCCACCACGTTAAAAGATCACTGTACGTACCAGTTTCGATGACAAAATGCATAATTTATGGTGAAACTATAATTACTTTATACACCACCGTTCCTGCGGCGCACTCTATTTTTAGCCCCTAACGAGGGCTGTAACTGGATTCAGTCGCGCTCCATAGATACAAACATACAAGGTAAAAAGAAGCATATACAGAATCTTGAGGTACACTAAACCTACTTAGTATTAATGGATTCAAAGCGGAGAGACAGTGCAGACTGGAAATTTGTTTTGTTGATTACTTGTAGGTATTATACACACAAATACATACATACATTGCACACGCAACATAGACACCATTGCAGTCGCAGTGAATTTAGGAGAGTGTCATATCTCGCCGTGATAGATATTCTTTTTCAAATTCTCTCTCTCATGAGTATATAAAAACCTCCCTTCCGCGAGAAGCACAAGGAACTTTGAAGTACGATATATCATCCTCCTCCTCATTATTACCTTTTCCACAGTTTTTTATATTAAAAAATAAGGCCGTCGCAAGTTGTAAGCACTGCGTTCCTCCAATGCATACAATAATTTCTTGCGTATACAGACGAATTTGATCGTCAAGAAATCGGTTGTGTACATTTACTGATGCGATACATTGATAGCACTCGATAGAAGCGAATAATATCGAATAGTTTGTTAATTCGTTTCACAGCCGAGGTGACACAAGTCCATTCCGATTCATTTCCCAAATGCATTGCTTCCACATGGTGTATACATGGTGTTACAGTGAAAGCGATTGATCGTTTGTATGAAATCAACGATAATTTTGTAGAGATATGTCGATTAATCACTTTCGTCCCGTTCGTAACATATAGATATTATATACATAGACGCAACAATTATATAGATATATTAATTAGTTATAGATTTTGTACAAACAGACACGTACGTCGCCAAGTCTCGTTCGCAGCGAGCCCAGTGCCCGCCTAAACTGCATTATACAAGCCCCCTATCCCTTCCATGTTGATTTAAATACGCGTTACATACATGATTTGGTTTATCGATTAAGAAGAAGGTGATTGATCTTTAAATAAAGCCAACGGATACACTTATCGGTCGTTTCTCGATCTCAACGAGTGCTCTCAAGGTACACTTTTATGATATCCCAATTATTACACAAATGTACGTCCGGATGAAAAGTCTGCCAAAGATAGATTGTATGATTGAACATCACCTTCGTACATCAATGGTTTATTGTTGTTCTTTGCCAACAAAATGAGAAATTATTCAAGAGGCGCTCGCGCGTGAAACAGGAGGAAAGAAAAAGCTTGGACTGAGAATTTCTGCCCGCGAAATTACAAGGTATCGATTTTCCGTTTTTTTTTTTTTTTTCAAAATACAATATTATTAATAATAAGAAAAAAAAACGGACGGAAAGCTGTTGTAGGTTATTCGCCATGTTTTCATAACGAGAGATCCATGAGTGGATATATTATGATAAAGTTTACATGAATATTTCGCAGGAGGACGCTTCGTGCGCGCGCGCGTTCGTTCCCGTTTCTCGCCGACACGTTGATCGACACGCGCGATCGTGTAGGTGCGCGCGAGCCGTTACTGTGACATTCACTCGACGAAATCAGTGGAGCCGCTGTTCTCTCGAACACGAGAGTAGCTTCGTCCCGAGCGCTCTCTAGAACGCTTGCGCGCGCGATGCGTTCGTCGACACTCTCGACCCTCTCTCGCCGGACAATGCGATGCGACGTGATTACGGATCGATCGGGCCGCGCGGAGAGAGAGTCGACGTGATCTTACTTCGCGGACGGTCGTAGGCAGTCGCAGCGTACGGTGCGCGTTGTGTGCAAGAAAGGCATTTCCTGCGGGCGATTCTTTCTCTTTGAATGGACCGCTTTAGCTGGGAAATCCGCCGCGATCGGGTTAAAGGTCCCCTCGCCTGATTTACCGTTCGTTGTCGCGAGAACGGGCGAGTCGTACGTTTCGCCTACATGAAAATGTCGATCGCGCCTTCTGACCTGGCAGCGGATTGGTTTGCTCGTTTATTAAGGTACTCGTCGATAGCGTTGGAACGTACGCGAGTGTAGTGTAGTGTGGTGTCTTTCTTTCTCCTCGACGACGTACGTTATTACGTACGTCGTCGATGCAGTCTGTGGTTCGCGAGTTTCACTCAAAAAGTGCACTTTGTTAAGGATTCTTACAAATAGGATACCTCCGAATAAGAGAGAAAGAGAGAGGGAGAGAAAGGTAATGTTAATCGAAAATCATCCTTGAGCGAGAGATGCTCTGTATCAATAAATAATGTGTAACGTTGTTTTAACACAACGTGATAGAGATACGCAATTGTACAAGCATGTTTACTAAATATTAAAGTCAGCATTGCCGCGAGGCAAGCATCAGATCTGCTAGTGTTGTCCCGAATTGATGAGTTTTAAATGTCATACGTTTGCGGCATTTGAAATCTTAAGGTGACTCGAATAAAAATGCCGTCTCTATTCCAAAGATTCGTCATTATGTACAACGGCCAAATAGAAAATGGAAAGCGTAGCGTGGAAAGGTTCGAGCGAGCGAGCGAGAGAGAGAATTGTCCTAGTACTCCGCGCACGATCGGCGTCAATCGGCGATGAATATACCACACCTCGCACGATTGCTCGACGAGCGAAATACTTTTAGTAGAATAGACTTTGTATATTTATTTCTTTCTTTCCTTACCTATGGCAATATGTAATTTTATATATACCGCGTGCGAGACCGCGCTCAAATTGTAATCTTGTAAAATATAGAAACGTATATACGCTGCCGAGAGCAATTTTCGGTGAATTTTTAAAGACGACAAACGGCTTATGACAATCGATAGATTGATGGTCGGAGTAAAGGATTTGTTTGGTCGGTCTAATACGCATACACACGTCAGGCAGCGCGAGAAGTACCGTTTCTCAAAACGGTTGGTCGAGAGCGCGACTGTAATTTGCAACGTAAACGTCGTCATACAGTTAGTTTCAGCCTATTGCCAGTCGCAACGTCGACGATCGCCCGCGGAGAAAATACTAAATCGCAACAAGTTTACACCGATTGAAGGATCCGACTCGCCGCCTCGTTGTAGAGGAATGAGACTGCACGAGTAGGGAAGAAAAGAGGAGGAATATATATATATATATATATATATATATATATATAAACATATAATAGTTTATATACAAATGCACAGAAAGCCAACGTTTCATCTTGACTTTTTGTCTCGAGAGTAGTCCCTCTCGACTACCGAAAATCAAAACATTAGCAACATTGACATAATGAATGTCGAGGGCCGAGCGCGAAACATATCATGTACACTTGACCAAAGATGCGATGGGAAGTGTAAGCTTCGCGCGTTCGGAGCGCTCTCTCTTTCGCGCGCGATAACTTTTCTTTCTTCGGTCGGGTAACTAACATATCGAGTGGAAATCGACAAGTAGATTGCACTCTGAGCTACTATTCCATACCTACATACCTACTGACGTTTGTTTGACGACAAATGTCGTTACGCAGTTGCGTAATCATATCATAAAGCAATGACATACCGAGCCGACAGTAGCCGGTGAACGTACTTATCTGATAAAATTCTTTCCCCCTCTTTTTCTTTTCCTTCTCTCTTTCTTTTTTTCTTATTCCTTTTTTCAATCAGACAACTCTCATGTAAATTGCTCTTTCGTCGATCAAATCGCTTCAGTGAATTACGACGACACAGATTTAATGGCTTCCAGTGTCTTTCCTCTCGCTCTGATGTATTCCAAGTTGTGAAAAAAACATGGGAAGGAGCGGCAGAAGAGCAGCATCTTGCTACCGATGAGAGAGCGAGCGAGCAAGCAATCGCGTACCCTAGCAATAACCCGATTCATCGCGAGAGACGCGGGGATTTCGGTCGCTCGAAGCTACTTTCGCCCGCGTGTGCTCTCTCAGGCGAGTCGATCTAGTGGACGTGTACACTAAACGCTCTATGACCAAAAAGAGAGCCGAGTGCGTTCGATCGCCACGTCGGAAAAGTAGACACTTCGAGCGTAGCGTTTTCATTTTCAGATCACGCGGAATCAACCGGAGAACGAGAGAATCGCATTATCCTTACGACACGCACGCGCCGTCTGCTGCGAACCAAGCGCGACATTTATCGGCGCGGAGAAAGCATCTAGTTTTACAAGCCGACAGTTACGGAGTACGTCGTGCACCATGTGTTCGTATCATTTCGGCAGACTCGACTGATCGTCTTCTCCAACTTGGCGATTGGGGAAAAGAGAAAGAAAGAAGGAAGCACCTTTGAAAGAAAGGAGACGAATAATCGGCCGAGCCAGCAGATGTGAGACAGCCGTAAAGTAAACTGAACCGATTGGACGCGAAGGAAAATCACGTCGAGAAGAACGAAGAGAGAGAGAGAGAGAGAGAGAGGTGCCTTGCTGGGCGGAAAGTACCGAGCGTGTACCAATGTGTCCAGGATCGTACGATGGCTGGGGCCTTGTCTGAAAGTGCCCCGAGACCTGTGAGCGTTGTCGCTGTTAACAATACCGCCGTGGACGACGTCGGAAACAACGTCGTCCAACGTGCCAATCACGTGAGATTTCTTTTTATTCGTGACAATTGTAGGACAATCGTAAATAATTATACGTAAGATAAGGTACGTACACGTTTGTTTCGTGTTTCAGGAAGCGCGAGACAACGTTCGGTCCTTCATTTCGACGGAGGCACAGACAGAGCTAGCACTCGACGAGACAGCCGGCGGTGGATCGGCGGCGGTGTCTGGTCGAGCCGAAGAAGCGTTTTCCGATGGCGTTCGAGATGCGATGGCGCGTAGGCGGGAACGACGAATGCGTAGGCAACATCGTCGCGCTTTGAGATCTTGCACCGTACCGCCGACGTATCGTACATCGAGCTGCCAGACTGCTGCGACCGCGCCGGGAGTGCCGTTGGTGCCGCCATCCGCTAGAGGTTTCCTACATCCTCCGCCCCCGCACTTGGGCCTCAGGGGTCTCAGTCTCGGTCTACCCTTTCCGGTGCCTGCCAGCGTTTCCGCCTTTGGCAGGTGAGGAAAAAGAGGGGAGAACCGATCTCATCAACTCGATCGGTCGATTAAATTTGAGAGTTGCAACACTTAAAACTGATTATTAGTAACTAAACGACGACTTGTAAATTCTTCGAGTTTTGTTATTGGCGACTCTTAAATTTAATCGACCGATCAGATTAACCAGAATTAGTGAGACCGGCCCGTTTTCTCTCAGTCGTTCGACTTGCGCGCATACAGGGAAGCCATGTATGTACATATTTCAGTGTTTTTCTTTAATGTGTGTATTATTTGCAACCAATGTCACGGATGGGCCACGATTTCCGTCTGGTATCACTACTTGCACAATTACGGTTAATTCGTCAAATCGATCGTCGTGTTCGCAGAGACGCCGTGGCAGTGCCGAAACAATGCTGTGGCCTGAGTTCTCCGCCAATACGCTGGTCCATATTGGGTGTCGGCTTCGTAGGTCTCGTTTGCACCGGTGCTGGCACTCTTCTCGGCGCCCTGAAAGCCTCCGGTCGTGATCATCTCGTAGGGGTGTTCATGTCCGGTAAGTAAGCAAACATTAGCCTCGCCTTGCCTCACCTTTGTTTGTCCGCCGAATAAGAATGAGCAACGATTGACGAATGAAAGACGTATATAGAGAATCAAAATTACAGGTATAGGAGTGCTTCTAGTGTTGGTGAGTGCAGTCGCCTGGCGGCTGACCAATCAAGATTACTGCGGCAGCTTTTTCGGTTTCACCGGCATTTCCGGTAGGATACCTCCCACGAGACCGATACATCCGTACGCCGCCATGATCTATCCGGAATTCCAGTTTAGAACACCACCGCCGAGTTATCAGGTGATTCGAATGTTGTCCGTTAGTGAGTCGTATTATGAGCAACAGTGCGTTAACAACATGCAAACCGTTGCACTTTTTTTTCTCTCGCAGGCTAGTATGCAAGAATATAGACTTCGATTATTGTTGCTGGATCGTTTGCAGCCTGCATCATCGCCACCACCGACTTACAGATCGAACGCGGGAAGCATCGTGGCACAGGCTCCTTCGGCGCGAGAGAGTCGACCGCCGAGTTACCGCGCTGAATCTAACCTCGCGCCGAACGCGAGCCTGGTACCCTCGAAAAAGGATGCGAATCTCGTTAGGATCGTCCAAACCGAATCCGAGCCGGTTATTCTCAGTGGCGACCAAACGCCACCCGTTACTGCCGTCGAAGTACTGGCGCATCTTTAGATCAAGCCACATATGCTCGCCTTACTACGACCTATGGCCATTTCTTTCAGGGTTTGCGAAAGCGATTGTAATTATGTATCTAAAGGAGACGACCTTTAATTATGTGTATAAATTAATTAATATAAGAACATAGATGCGTGTGGAAGAGATGAAATATATCTTTCAGAAAGAGATTTGTTGAGGTATCAGTAGACCGCGTTGAATTGATCTATCCAACTTGTATTTTTCATAAGTTATATTTTTATTTCGTATATTTATTTTTTTTTCTCAAGTTAGACTGCAACGCAATCTCTCCATCCGTTTATCCGTCATCTCTCAAGTTGAGGCAATACTTGATCGAGTTTCTGTGCAATTCCCCTTCTCCTTTTTTATTCTTTTATCAACCGTTTTATTTACTCTTAACCTAATATTAGTACTACGCCTTTGTTTTCGTGGAAGCGATGTTGGATCTGTAGTAGAAAAATATAATTTATCAACGATATACCTATGTTATTGTGTATGCAACTTTTTTCATCGAGCAGGTTGCGCGCATGTGTACAATCAGGACGATTGTTGTTGTTTTTTCTTACATGTTCGCACAAAACATACGAAGCGAACCTATGATTTACGAGTATGCGCAGTAGATAGTCAGCCAGCTATCAAAATTACATATACATACGTAATTTTGACACATCTAATTTTGGCAGTTGTCTGACCATCTATTGCGCATGTTCCATAGGTTCATTTCGCCACATTTTTTACATGTTCTGAAGTAGATGAGAAAAAAACTATTGCGACCGACTATACATGCAGATACGTACGATCTTCAGGAATGTTCATTCTCTTTCTCAGAACAGCGCGTACTTGTTTGTTTATTATCTCTCTGCACTGTACATCGAAGCCAGTTGGTAGCCACCCTCTCTTCTCGTGACATCTTATACCAGGCAAAGGATCGGGGAGTTTCGCCAACATCTGTTGTATCTCTGCCACTGCGACGTCGCAATACTAACAACAAAGAGTCGTACAATCGACATTTTTACAGTCGTCGATATCTTAGAGGGAGGAAGAGGATCGACGAACCTGATAAAACATTTGCCGAGAAGGAGGTACCATACCTTCCCGGTATATGTAAACATTTTCATGTAAATGCCTCTCTTTCTTTGGATTTTGCTCTTGGCTCAAGGTAGTAGTCAATATCGCGGGTTTTTGCTTAGAAACCGGCGCTGATTTATACGGTAACGTATAAGTTGAATAATTTCTCTTGCACTTCACGGTTGAACCTAATCCATCTACGTTAGATGAAGAAACTAATTATAATTTCACGCAATTCCTTCAATTTTTCTTGCTTTTACCCGATAACAAATTAGATATTTGAAACAACGAATGGCATAACTTACGCATAGCTTTCAACCTATAATCTAATGTTTGATACTTTCTCGCATTAATGTCCTGTCTTGGGTCGTAACCTAGTTTCACCCACATGATTCTCCATGGTCCGGTCATAAAATAATACGCTACTGATGGTAGTAATATCTTTAATTGTTCAGACGTAAATTGTGTTTTGTGCATGATAGCATTTTTCGACCAGATCGGCCGCTCCTCGAAAAGTTGACGTACTTGTTCCAAGTGTGCATTCTGGAGGAATTTGACCCTCATTGCATTTTCAATACCTCTCGGGGCCGATGTGGGTACTTTCGGTGTAGAAAAGTATATATAATTGGGAAAACCCGCTTGACATTTTTTATTTTTACCAATTATATTTTCTAGACCGGAATCCGTTTCACTTTTTGGCACGTATTGCTGTATAGTGTCCATTCTACTGAATGCAGCTGGTGGTAGAAAATAAGGTACGTCATTTTGTAACCAGGAAAAAGCTGGAATTCCTGTCGGATAAATCGAGCTGTATATACATTCCAACTTGTTCGGGTCTGACCTGCTTTGTGTCATTGGTACATATTGAAAATCGCACAAATCTAAAATATTCGAGAAAGAGAGATTTAATAGAAGGTCTTTTTCAAAGAACTTTCCGAACTGGTGCTACAAGTTAGAGCGAAACAAATATATTTGTTTTCACTCAAACTTATTGTATTAATGCATATCAGTTCAGGAAGTACTTGGAAAAAAAACCAATCTTAAAGAAGCATTAATACGATATGCTACGTAAGTGCATGTATGTTTGTATAGAACGTACTGGTAAATTTGAATTCGATATCGACTCTTCCGAGTACTTTTAAATGTGGCAAGTCGTAATCCGTGTCTTGGGATAAATTTTCATATTTATCATAATCAAACGATGCAGACAATACGTCCTTCTTTCTTTTTGATGAATCTTTGTCTGTATTTACACATGTATGGTGCAAATCTATAGTATTAGTAATGGCATTTATACTTTTTTTTGCAACGTCCTCGTTATTGGAATGTACAGAATTAATATCTGAATCTTGTTTCACCAATAAATCACTAACAGTATTACTTTGGCGGTTGTCCTTTCTTACTGCGATACTCCACATTAGATTATCAGTATGTCCATCTTTCAAGAGATGCTGATAACAAGGTGCATTAGTTTTGTCATGAGCAATACGAAGTGCTCCCAAGTCAGTGGTACTTACACATTGTGAATTTACAGTAGCATCTTCTTTGGCTTGTTTATTCTTCTTTATCCTAATTCTGAGTAAGAAGCCAGTTGTACTATGTCTATCTCCACAGGTAGGTTTACTATAACCATCGTCGGGTCTAAATCGTAATTCTAGTCTCCTATTGGGAGCATCTATAGCCTGTTAAAAAAAAACTGCCATAAAAAAATTGAATAATTAAATATTGGTTAAATATGTGTTGTATTATACCGTAGAAATAGAGCTAATGCCACCCAATGTTTCGACAGCTTTATCAACATTAATTACATTTCCTGGATACTTGACGCATACTAGCTTCTTATCGAATTGATGCCCAGAAATTATTGGACCAGTATACACGCTATATTGTGGATTGTTCATCTTAACCTGTAACGGAGCAGAAGAATTTCCAAGTCAGTTGACACGAGAATAGAAACGCCTTTGCCTTATTCTCCGTTAGTGTCGGTCCACAACAGATATTTTAAGCCTTAGTGGCGGTCTACAATAGATATTTTAAGCCTTAAGAAATCATAGTCGAATGTGAAGAAGATAATTAACTGTGATTGGTCAATTTCTTAAGGCTTAAAATACTTATTGTATACCGACACTAATGTCGCAAAGGAAAATACATATAGATATAAGACAGATCGAGAGAGAGAGAGAGAAAGATAAAATTAATATATTTAAAGTAAAGCACTTGGACACTTACATTAACACTATCTTCCAATAATTCGTTGAAAGAATCGTCGCTGTCAATTTCATGGGTATAATCATCCATATTGAAGTCCGCATCTTTGTCGTCTTGTTTGTCGGATATTTCAATGTTACTCGAATCATTCAGCTCGCAAATCAAAGCTACTTTGTTATAAATTATAGAATTATTGTATTGGGTGGTTATTGAACGCCCCGAGTCCATATACCATTCTTCATTGGTGCCAAGATGAAAAGCGTAAATTGTAAATACTTGAGTTCTTATTCTTCTCAATTGTAGCTATGGACTACCCTGCGGCTTGTCTCCTACGCCAGTAGCTAGGGAAATACTTGGGTTGGGGATTTGAAATTTAAAGAGTTGGATATGATCTAGAATGATTAGCCTAGGGAAAAATACTTGAACAGAAAGTCTCCTTAAGGCCATATCAAACTACGGATTGGAGGTTAAATTGAAATTTGACCAATCGGTGCAAAGTTCATTCAATTTCACTAAATTTGAATTCAGTTAACTTTGTACTGATTGGCCAAATTCAATCTCAATGGCCGCGTTCAACAGAACATTTAGTTAGCAACTGTCGGAAGTTTATTGTGCTGACATTGGATTGTTCCTATAGATCTAAAAGAATAATCCAATCTCAGTTCAGAAAACTTCCAACAATTGCAAATTATGCGTTCTGCTGAACGTGACTAATTTCAGTCTCCACTCGTAGTCTGATACGGGCTTCTGCCCATAGGATGCGGCAACGCGCAATAGAGGTTCGCGCGGTAGCCAATAAATTTCTAGATCTATATACCGAAAAACGGCATGTTGATTGGGAATGTCCGCTGCACATTGCCGCGTCCTGTGGACAGAAGACATAAATTCCAATCTGTACTCTAATCGTGGCCTGCAAATTGTTGATTGGTTGAGCTCCACGTTCCAATCTGAAACTCAATTTCAATCCATAGTGTGATATTGATTCAGACCTGCTGTGACTTCATTGATCGATTTCCAATTCCCAATCGTCTGATAGGGACTTTATATTTACGGGAATCCATGTGTGGAGATGTTATGGTCGTCAGGCAAATGCACGATTGCGCGAGATAAAAATGCATCCCCTTCACTGAATTATCTTGAGTTATCTTGACACGCGAGGAACCCCCGTAAATTGGGACATCTACAAATGCTTCATCAACTGATGAGCATCAACTGATTTCTAAAGGCGGAGTAATATGTAGCGAGTGACACAGAGCTGCGTGCCGAATAGAAACATGCCTCTCGCTATTGGTTAATACCCGTTATTGCTTGAACACTTTTAGAAGTAACCTATTTTTCTTTATACAGAGTCCGTCTAATTGTTTTCCATGCTATCATTAGCTCTTACAGATTAACTAACTCTTCACTAACTATTGCGAATTTTGCAAAATGGTACATAATTTTCCTGTTCAGTTTAATCCATTTTACCTGCACACCATGGATCTCGAGATAATTATCGGACTGTATATATGTATGTATGTATATAACACACACACAAATTTCTGTTGGAAAATAAAGAGGTATGCGAAAGAGGGTTTTATTTTTTTTTATTTGAAGATATTCTTGGTGAATTGTATTTTTCGTTTATTGGGCGATCCGAGCAATACAAATTGCGTTCAGAAACATCACTTTTTGGTGTGCTTTCGTGACTTTAGTGACTGTAAAGATTTGCAGTGCATAATAATAGATTAATCTGTTATATTTCAAATCCTATTATATTTCTACTAGCGAGCTGTTAAAAAATTTATAGCAGGCACGAAACCTGCTTCTATGAGATTGGCTGGCTTGATTTTGAACAATGCTACTTGCTCAATGTACCCACGATGAATGCTAATATATAATCAATATTGGACCAATATGTCGCCAATAAATTGTGGGATTGAGCAAAGATTAATTAACTAATTTATACTGCTCGGGGATTACGACAATTGTTGACTCATTGCGTCAGAGTTGCACGCAGCCGTCGATCGAACCAAACACCGTTTGTAACATTTGACGAAGAGCGGTCATCATATATATGAAATTTGCATTTACGTTAGGTTGTCAGAGAAATTTTTGCATTATTCAAACTAATCGAGCGCGATGGGGATTTAGGAGAGTAAGTATAACGATGAAAATAATTAGCGATTAAATAGCTTTACCAGTTATTACCATTGTTATATCGAGTTGCTGTAGACTAGCGATTAAGGATATCGATCCTTCTATGGTTGAAACACGGCTCTATATCGATCATGTGTTTGCGCTGTGCTTAATCATATCGTAAAATAACGTAAATTTGTTGCTATAAAAGTTTGAAGAACTGAAAAAGTTGCCCGAACGCGAGAGAGTAAAATTCACGCAATTTGGAAACCGTATCACACTCTCTCGCAAGGATGTACAGAGTTATCTTCTCGCGACATTTCATTCGTTTCCTCGACCAAAGTTAAGCTAATAGATACGTTATATATTGTCGTGTTATATAATGCAAAAGAGAGTGTGTACAGACCTATGATTTTTGCAGGAATACTATCTATTATTCTAAATAACCATGTGTGTCATGAGCCATCAATTTCTCGTTAAGTTCCAATCGAACCGACGCGACGATACCTATGCTCTACGGTCCTATGCTTTCGGTTGAGCATGGTAAAGTGGGTTAGATGGCTTTACACAAGCGTATAATTTCTCGAAACAGTACCGATAACAGGTATCTGTTAAATATTCATGGTAAGAGTCGACCGGTGGGGGGTCTTACATAGCTTCGCATTCGTATGTCGTCTTATGAATTCATAACAAAGTGATGCCTTGAAAACGATACTTCTATTTATATACCAACATCTCTCTCTCTCTCTCTCTCTCTCTCTCTCTCCATATATATATATATATATATATATATATATATATATAAAATATGTATGTTGTGTATGTGTGTGTGTGTGTGTGTGATTATGTCAAAGTGTTGGCGCGACTCTTTAAATCGCGTCGAGTCGTTCGATGCATTCTCTCTACGAGATGCGCATTAAAAAATCTCTTTAAAAATCCGTAATTGACCGATATACAGATCTAATTATTATGGAATACGCTAAAAAGTCGATTAAACAAATATAAGGTAAGACGTGGATTAAAAAGTCATTACATTGTTAAGTTATACGTACACGTTAAAGATATATGTGAGCTCGAGTCTATTCAATAACAAAAAGCTTTCAAATTACGACGTCTACGTAAAGTGAATAATGGATGTGACAACGTATGTCATTTCATACGTCAGTGCTCAATTGGGAAGCCGAATATCAAAGCATAAGCATCTAAGGAAATATTAATAGCTTTCTGCTGCTTCTCTCTCTCTCTCTCTCTCTCTCTTTTATTACATTATCGATGCATCGTTTCGACCAAAGTTTGCCATATTATACGTGACTATACCATGCGTAAAATGGTCAAATTAGTCGACGGCCGAATTCTTTTTTAAAGAAGAAAGAAATAGAAGAGAAGAGCGCAATTGCATTTTGTATCGTCGTGCACATGGCATAATTTATTGGTATAGTTTAGTTTAGCGGCGCGTATTATCCACTTGGGACAATCGAAGGGTTCGGATCAACAAGAAGATGCGCGGTCATGGTCATTTTAAATTGATTCGAGTTTATACACATGACTCTCTCGATTAGTATGAAAGTCGGAATTGTTCTACGTACAAAACATTGAAAATTTTATACGCATGCAAAATACATGGCCAAGTAAAGCACCAAGAACGACCGTGCAATGAGCCCCTCGTGATGTTTTTGGGACGTTTTAGTTGCACCATTTCAGTACTTGGGAATTCCACCAGTACGATAAGAAACGTCGATTAAACACACGGCATTAGCCGGCATTACGATGTGTTTATAGAAACGTGATATTCGTCGACGACACGTTTGAAGCTAGAAAGTTCAAGTACGTCCGTAGTTGGCGCTTAGGTAGAATACAGACAGAGAGACATATACAGAATTTAGACGTTCCTAAACCCGTTTTATCATGAATACCTTCTCGTTACGGTTCTCTCGTACCGCTGTGTTCTCCGATCGATTGTGTAAAACGAGAGCATAAATTTCATATTAGCTTCGCGCGTTAAACGCTTGTTCTTGCTTCTACGTAATACAGCGAGACAGCTGTCATCACCGTGATAAATCCCACACATGCTCGTATTTTACACTATATAGGAGAGCGATTGTTTTTCAAGCTGTCAAAACTGTTACATTAATTTGCGTTCAACCGTTTGATTAGAGAAGCAAGCTATCGCGAACAATTACCCGATAAGCTGTGAAAGTTCGAGTCTAATTGAATTTGAAAAAATGACGAATACGATACCTGTCATGTCATCGCATGTAAGCTCAATTGATCGTTGCTCGTCTCATTACACAAAGTCAATCAACATATATACGACACTCCGTCCTGCGGACGTCCCCTGAACATCTTTAGGACATCCCTTGGAGGTCTATGTTGGTATGTTTGATCCATTAGTATTCGGGGCCTAATAAGCCTATTTTGTAGAATGACGGTGGATCGATCATATTCATCAAATTCGAAGCGTCGAAAGCTCAATTCTCGCGAGAGAAAATTTTTACAAAAAGATCATCCCGAGAGCAATGTTAATTTAGCCACGCTTCGGGTTATCGTTGAACCACGTTCAAGTCATGCAGAAACTTGACATTGAACCTGTACATCACGTCCCTACACACGGCCCCTCACTTACACACGCCCATTAATTCGACCGTATGCAAAGTATATGTAGAGTATGCACGAGCATGTAGGGAATGAGCGCTTGCGCTGTATCCATGACAACATGTGGTTCTTACGACCTCTACTTGTTCCCAAGTAGACAAACCATTATGGCATTGTCGTGCGAAAGCGTCGTAAGAAAGAGCCTCGTTGTAAAAGCTCCGTTGTGAAAGCGTTGTGACTCATACCGCTTTGTGTCGTCGTGCAACGTACTTTTGCATTCTGCCAAGTGAGCCGGAACAAATTGCCATTCAGGTGTTTAATTGTGCAAATTATCGGAATTGGAAGGGTCGTACACAGGTCATTCGTCGATTCTCGCATGACAGGGAGACGTAGAGAGAGAGAGAGAGAGAGAGACTGTCAATCTCGATTATCCCGTTTTGTCGAGTGTGTCTTGATCGACAATCGTATGTCGCATTTGCAAAGTAAATGATATTATATCGATTTGCTCCTAAAAAAATGGACAGAAAAATTTCTCTCTGTCTCGATGGCTCTTCTTTCCTAAATTTTACAGCCTGAATTTTATCTACATTTTATATTAAACTTTTATAAGTTTCTTCGGATGTAATTGGTTTCCAGTCAAACTCTCATCGACGAGAAAATCATTGATGCTTTTACGAGTGACTCGATGGTAAACTGACTCGGTTGTATCTTAGAAGTCATTGTCCAAGGTGTATAGCTTCGTGTTGACAACTTTGTATGGACGAGTTATATGGTATATGCGAGTTATATTTCACGGGGAAAGATTGACGTGTGTATGTGAGATAAAAATTTTACACAAAGAAGTTCTGTTCTCAGATATTCGAGAAATAATATATCTGTTCATTTAACGTTTACCGAACTCGTAAAGTTTCAATTTTGCCTAGTGGCTTAAGAAGAATGAAAAAAATAAAAAATAAAATTACGGTATAAATAAATCCCATATGGCACAAATATTCAAAAAATATCCTACAGACAAAGTCCCAGAAATGTTTGAATATCTCTGGAACGTCTCTAAGATACCTTTTAAATATTTGTGCTATATGAGATGTGTAGAAATAAAATACGAATGCGAGGGAGAGGGGAAGTTTGTGTGTCGTTTCTAAACGATAAAATGTGGCGATATATTTTCAGGGTATTCACTAATCCATACCGAGTTCTCACTTGAAGCATCTCGCGTGAACAAAGTAAACTTGATGAAATAAACTTAATCGCCATGAATCGTCGCGAGTAGATTGTTTCAAAGCCCAGGCATCGTCGATGTGGACAGTAATTTTGCTGAGTCTCATCTTAAAGTGCCTGTTGAAGAGATTACGTCGAATAGATTCGACGCGAATCAACACGTGGCAAGTGCATACGCCTCCATCGTTAGGACGTCGTTTCGTAGGAGAAAAGGTACAATTTCACGGATAAAGCGGGTCAAAGGAAAGAAACACGCGATATAAGGCTTTAATGTGAAATATCTCATGTTAAATATTGAGCAAGAGTGATTAGAGGGAGAGAGAGAGAGAGCGTACGTTACGTACGGTGAATTCACGGTATTCGGAGTAGAGAATTCGAGGTGTCGAATGCAGCAAAGATGAGTTTGTTCGCTGGAAGCATGTGAGTAAATGGCCGTGAAGGGATCGTGCCAGTCTTCGAAGGACCTACTATGGGCATCTGCCTGGACACTGGTTAGTATATCTACCAACAATCGATTCCTTTTCCTTCGATATATATATGTGTGTGTCTTTTTATCGTACGTTTTTATCGTTGAATCTATCGGCTCAACGATAGAAGCAATCCTGTGGACCTGTTAGTGGACTTTTTCAGCTCCTTCATATGGGAGACAAATTTATTTTCCCGAAAATAAAGCTTCGTTGGAATAACTCTAAAATGATTGTCAGACTGTTAAATTACTCGGCCCGTCTATTATTCAAACCAAATCGAATCATATTCGCGAGACAGGTTATACGTAAGCGACGATGCACTCGGTAATCGTTTATTCATACATCTTCATTATTTACAAACGTCGATCCCAGCAATCCGGGCAATCATTGCGAATCGTCGCTAAGATGGAAGGAATTTTCTTTTGTTCTTTCCCCTCTATTTTCTTTTCTTTCTTTTTTTTTTCCAGTCGCTTTCGCGCGTTGCAAGACGTGCAACGAGATATTTATCATGAGTAGGTATCGCACGATCGATATTGCAGAAGCGACATTATTGTATACGAGTCTTTCCTCGCCATCGCGACAATAAACTTGTCGCGAAATATTGCACGATGACGCCACTCAACTTGGATCGCGTCGATCACTAGCCTGTTTTACATGACGCGATAAAATGTTGTTGATAAAATATCACATGTTACGTGGCAAGGCGTAATATCCGATGTAATTGCAAATTTTTTCGACGCGAAAGCAAGCAACTGATTCACATTGACATGGCATAATTAGTATCACTTTCAACACGAAAGTTGACGAAAACGTCTTTGCTTGCCTTTTCGGTGCTAGAAAGCAGATGGGAGATAACAAACGTTTGCATTTGTTGGTGGTTCTTCACGATTATTTCAAATGAGCGATAATAAGAATCTTTACCAATGATCGAATGGCTTTGCTCGAACGGTGTTTACTGAAACATGCCACACGAATAACACATATAATAATATAATAATAATGCATGCACAACCTATCGCTTTTGTGTAAAGCTTGGTCACGCGATACTAAGCGGGAACAGTGGGATAATCGATCATCAGTCAATTTTACACACTAAGCGGAATAATATACGGTCGCGCGCGAAATTTAATCGGCTACTTTCCAACATCGTAGTATAGCAGTTCCTGTAGCAGAACTTCGGTCAAATCACCTCCTTGTGATAATTACGCTAAATACACCATCTTTTTCAAATTTTCCCTCAAAGGTCAATACACAAAATAAGTAAGCAATGTGTCGTAGATCAGCAAAATGGATCGCAGGTGTTCGAGGAAGGCGCAGGTGCTCGAGCAACAGGAAGATGGCGAGGAGAAGCTGGTCTTTTGGCTACGCCACCAGATGGACATTTTCCAAAGCAGAATGTCGGTCCAGTCAAGTTTGAAATTCCAAAAGTTCCTGTTATATTCGTACTTGGTTAGTAATACATTGCTAGATTAACGCTTTTCATCATATTATCACCGTTACAAACGACTCTTCACAACGATATTTCCTAGGTGGTCCCGGTAGTGGTAAGGTGACATATTGCGACAATTTGATACAGGAGAAGAAGGGAATAACACACATCAATATGATGGATCTTCTTCAGCAATATGCGCTAGGAAATGGCACGTATAATTGCACTTTATATGGCACATGTAATATTGTGTTTGCAAGTCATGTAGATGTTTTCACAAAAGAACAATAAACGCGTTCTTTTTAGCATAGCTGTACTAATTGAAGAAATTTACGCACACTGAGAAAGTCAGTTCAGATAAAAAGAACAGACTAATTATTCGGGACACGAAAAATGTAACATTTTATGTATCGTGTTCTTTCGTGAAAAAGTTGTCTATAATTTTGCGATTCATGCGCGAAAGATTGTGCAATATCCATCTCACTCTTTATATTCTTCACCTCATGAAACATTTCAAATCAAATTTAGATATGCAAGATTTCGGACAACTCAGCAGCAAGACCGTTACAGAAGTACTTATGCTTGAGATGAAAATGTCCCCGGGAGCTAAAGTGTTTCTCGTCAGTGGATATCCGCGAAATATGCGCGATGTAGTGGAATATGCTGAGAAAGTGAGTGGTGACGCATCTTGTATTTCTGTTCTTTCGATAAATTTTGCCCTCTACTACGCCGATGGATTAACATCAATATATAACTTACAGATAAAAATTGTTAACGGCGTCATTCTTGTGTCCTGGAGGCAGGAAGTGCTGGAGAGACAAATTGATTTCGGGGCGCAACTCGGTCATGTTATCATCGGATTAGCTAGGATGGAATTGCACAATTTTTACAGAAATGTCATGCCAGTTGCGGAATATTTTGATCAAAGCGGAATGTTGCTCGAGGTATATATCGTGCCACACTCAACGGACTTCTTGCCGAATTACTCGTGCATGTTAATCGTGCGATTGTATCCCTGCTTATTATATTAAACAGGTGAACGGAGAGCGTAATCCGAGCGAGGTTTACGTTAGTTTTCGGGATGCCGTACTTAAAATTCTCGGTATGTCGAGTGGTGAGATTCGAGATCAGGATATACCTCAATCTCTGGAAGCCGAAGTAAGTTTAGATTAAATAATTACTTGAATGGGATGCAAGTAAATCGTATAATTTACCGGTGAACTTTTATACGAGCAAAGGAGATGAAAGAATCGCTCCAACTTGTATGCCGACTCGCTCAAGTGTGCAATGATTCGAACAATTGATTGCGATAAAATTAGCAAGCGAGACAGTGGTGTGATTGAGTCTGTTTGAAAATGGCTTGATAATTGTGTATGTATTATTCATTCTGTCTCTCAGGTTGAAGTGGAGAGGAGAAAAGAATCAATTTCAAGTTCACCACTAACGAAGCAGCAGATCGTGCCGTCTGAGATAACATCGCCTGTGGTACCAATAAATGGATCGTCAAAAACAGCTGATAAGCCGAGAAAGGGATTGCCGTCATTTATCTGGGTTATAGGTGCGAATTTCGTGCGGAAAGCCTACTCAAACGAACAAGGCTGGATGAAATAAAACGCCTGAATGATCTTGCGAGAGAGCCTAGTGTATTATCTTTCGGCTTAACCGAGAGAAAGGATTTTCTCGAAGGAACCCATGTTCTTTCTCATTTCGTAATTTTCAAAGTTCCAATTTTTTTGGAACAAACTTATTCCGCGAGGTTCTTCCTGCCGAGAAATCAAATTTCCATCAAAAGCCGCAGCAAGAGATCAGCCGCGAAGGCACCGCAAATACCATATTTAAATCCGCGCGTATATATCCTCGAAAATGCGTGAAACTGTATGCGCGAAAAATCTTATTAGACTGTATCGTCCACTATGTAACATATATGTATCATCAGGTGGACCAGGAAGTAACAAGTCGGCTCTGTGCGCTCAAGCCGTTCACAACATGACCGGTTGGCTACACGTAAGTATCGGAGGACTCTTAAGAACGATGGCGTCGTCGAATATGATTGTAAACGAATCTATCGTCTCGGGCGAGATGGTCCCGCACGATCTCGTGATGCAATTTGTGGAGCAACAGATACTTTTAAATCGAGACTCGGACGGTATCGTCATAGATGGATATCCGAGGGATTTGAATCAAGTACAAGAATTCGAAAGCAAGGTAAAAGGAAGCGTTACACACGACTCATTGAGTCTCGTAACTTATCGATTGTGTTGACAGTTTGGGCAAGAGCCACCGCTGGTGCTACTCGACTGTTCCAAGCTGCAACTTGGACGAGGAAGACTGGACGACAGTGTTTCGGCATTTAGAAAAAGATTGGAGCTCTTTCGCGAGGTTTCTCTTCCCATGTTGAAGACACTAGATAGCGACAATCGATTAACAATTGTACGTATAAATGAGCACCCTTTTCCCGCAAAGTTCACTTACTTAAATGATGAGTCGATCCAGAAATTGACTTCTTTTGTAGCGATACGCGTGTAACGGTTATAAATGCGAAAAAATAAAGTTTCTTTCGCATAGGTTGATGGCGACACTGATGTGCCTAGCGTGCAACAAGATTTCGCCGTTGCGTTATACCAATTGATGCGCCGGGCGCGTCGTATAGAAGAGGTCGATTCTCCGATGACCAAAGGCCCAAACGATTCAAATGGGAAACACACTACGATCGATTATGAAAACGAGCGTTCGATGCCCAATGGCGTCGCTAAACAGATAGTCAACGGTGTGTCCAATTACGTTGGAAAAGATGCGACGAAAAATGGAATCATTACTCAAGGTAATTTTTCAGCTAATAAGCGTGTATAATTGTGTGTATTTATCTCTGTTTATCTCATCCCGTCGCACTACTTGTAGGTACCATCTCCAACGGCGTGTTGAAACAGCAAAACGGTCATCAAAACGGCATCGCGAATGGCACGGCGCATATACTGCAGAATGGCATAGCGCATTTAGCAAACGGCATTGCGTCGTCTGACAAAAATAAAGTCGCACCAGCGACACGCAACTATTTGCCAAAGGATCCCATCAGAAAGATGTATAACGAGGTCGAAGGTTATCAGCAGAATCTTCACATGTGACTCACTACGACGAGTCGCATGTTTTTACACGTCGTGCGAACGGATCTAGTGAATTACGCACGACAGACTTTAGATTTTAATTATATATACAGTCGGCGCTCGCGTGTCTTTCAACGACAGGTACTGATGTATAGTGCCTTGAAACAAATACGACTTAAACAGTAAATTAATAGTTAGATATCGTACGTTCACTGTAAAAAGCCAAAAATGGAGTCGTCAACAGTATTTTTTCAATGACAGGATAATAATCATTAGAGGATATTATACATGCGCGCGCGCACACACACAACATAAATATATTATTACTACTACTAAAATTTAGACTATCTATTAATAACTTATTTATACAAATATTTATGTCTTAAAAATCTCCCGACGAATATCACATACATCGTCGAATTATATTTAGCCAGGTTGTATTACGATTGTAACAGAGCACATTTTATCTGAAGGACGTCCTACAGACTTAATTTTGGAATATCAATAGGATATATCCTAAGGTAGTCTCAGATATGGGTATCTCAACGACCTCCAAATAATATCCGAGGAAGAAATATATCCATACAAGAATATATTATGTGTCTGCCATTTTTTTAGTTACTGGACGTCATTTGTACCAATATGTCTAGTATTTGAATAATAATATCAAGTATTTTGCGAAAAATGATTCATTGAATCGACGTCGATTCAATGTACATTTCTCGTTGGCTCGAAATAGTATTAAAATTATTACTGATGATATTACGTGAGATACATATAAAGAGATATTTGGATATCGGAATATCCCAGGAGGATATCAATCGCATTTGGAAATCTGTGTGAGATATCCTTAGGACAAAATGTGCTGTGTGGGAGAGATGAGACGGGAATGTGCTATTTATAACAAATCGTTTGAAATATATTGTTTCGGAATATACGCGCAAGGAGAGGATAAAAGTACCTGATTCGAGATGAACGAATAACTCGATCTGTTTTATAACTCGATCCGCGGGCGGATGTGGTACCATACGTTAGTCGCGATTTAACAGATTTAAAATAATTTTTAAAGATATCTTCACCATTAGTGTTATAAGCCAATAGTCTCACCGTACATGTCAAAATTATAACCCAAGTGCTCGCGATCATTGCGCGGGTTACAGGCGCAAAAATTTCAACAAAAATATCCGGTTTTACTTTTCTTATCTCCTTTTATCTTCAATGTGCAATCGAATACGTCTTTCTAATTACGCGTAGCAGCCGAGAGAGATGCGATTAATTTAATTTCCTTCTTTTCTCCCTCTCTTTATCTTCTTCTTTGTGTAATTTTATACACAAATCCTTCATCTCTATACAATTTCGTACTAGCTTATATTATGAAACTAGACACACTGCTCGTTTGTGACTACTTTTTAAGTTTCGCAAAATATAAAGGAGTTCCTTTTATATGCAACGTTTATCGCATTATATCGCATTGTTTATTTTTAACAATTCATTTGATTGTGTCCAATTTCACACTTGGAGGAAATAATTCGAATGGTAACTTTGTGAAAACGTGCTAAATATATTTCTCATGTAGCTCTGGTAAGAGTATAACTGTAAAAGGGAATTAAATTGATCAAGTTTCTAAAAGACTTATTAAGAATAACAAGTTTAAAACAAATTAGAAACAAAAGTTGTCTAAAGAAATTTAGATTGGGAGAATCAAGCAGAAATAGAGATACAGATGATTTTTATTTTATCGAGGGTAGGGTAGCGCGAGAGAAAACATTCACGAATAATTTAGAAAGAACATTTTTACATTTTTTACATATATACAACGTATATATACAAGTATATTATATTGATATGTAACGTAAGAGTTAGCAGCAAGTTTCTTTAGTTATTGTTTGATCCAAATTGAAAATAAATTATGAAGCAAAAATATGTTTGTTAAATATCGAATTGAGAGATAGATCAAACACACATAAATATATACGCAAATGTGATAAAGAAAATCATCATTCTATTGCGTCAGAATGATTGTTGTGCATCATATAATAATCGTATAAGACCATTTTTTCATCTAAAATATTAATTTCTATTTTCTATATAATTGTTCAT